CTTCCCATCTTTTGAGGGTGGCACGACACTATATAAATGACAGTCGCCATTTTAAATTCAGCAGAATGCAATCAAAGTGCTTTGTGTTCTAAGAAAACGGCCACGAAGGTATGAAGTTAATGATTCCTATCAAACTTTTGAAAAGCAGGCTTTTATTATTTATATATTATATATTTTATTATTATTTTGGACTAATTTCTCTTACCTTGCTTCCTATTACTACATAGTAAGATAATATTCTACTCTTTATGTATTCTATGCGCCATATTTCACATTGTTGTTTAGTTTCCGCCATTAGCTCGCATGGCGTGACGCATTGTGCACGCTGTCGTTTAGTCTGCTTCATTGTTCCGCCTCGTTTGCACGCTGTTGTTTAGTTAGCCTCATTGTCACAAGGTTGGCGCATAATTAGCGCGGCACCTTTATTCCCCTTTTTTTGCCTGCTCGTTCGTTTTATTTACACTTCTTGTCTTCGGTCAATAAACGTCTTCACTTGCTCTGGGTTTCTGAGTGTAACGGAACAGATTCTGTCACGATTTAATTGCTCTTCAACAAAATCCTCCAAGGACTTCAAATAATAATTATCTTAAATGCATAACAATTGAGTAAGTGGACAGAAAACTTTGAATGCGTCAACCATCGTTAACCCTGACCAAAAGAAAATTTTTCGTTACAAGAGGGTCTCAATTGAGTTAATCAGATTGATTCGACCATCACATTCGACTACGTACGCTTTCTTAACGGAAACAAAAAGAACAACACAGTCGGATAGTTCAACGCATTTGATTCCATCACAGACAGATTGAAATGAACCCAAGAAGGAACCGAAAGGATGGTTCGGCATGGAGGAAAACAAACATAGAATGAAAACTACGACACTGTAAATGTTTAATTTAAGTCTCCTTATCTTCTCATCCGATGCTTTGTCGCACTCAGTCAATAGGCCATTTTACAGTTGTGCACTTTGTTGCCAAGCCTTTGATTTGGAGTGAGGCTGAAGGTGACCTTGTTGTGTTAGAGACCAGAATCTAGTTAGCATGATAACAAATTAATTTGCATTTCAAAAGCAGCAAGGTTTGTATCATAACAAGGTCACCCTTAGCCTCACTCCTGTTCAAAGGCTTGGCAACCAAGCACACAACTGTAAAATGGACTATTCAGATAATTTGAGTGTCTTAATGAGCCGACTGCTGATAAATTAGGCGGAACAATTCGCCTATTGTCTAGCTTGTTTGTGCCATCAGAAAAAGGCTTGATATATTCAATAACACAAGCAAGGAGTTAGGCAAGGTGAAATTCGTTCGGCAACAGCACGACAATACAAGTGCGAAGCGTTGTAAGAAAAGGAACAGCGTCAAGAAATAAAACAATTATTCGCATACGCAGGCGCATTTTCCGTTCCAGTTTCTCAATGCTCTTCATTCCCAGGCTCCGACTGATGGCAAAAAGTGTGCGCAATTTTCATAGAATGAAGTAGGGGTCTTAGTGTTGAGCATCAAAAACGATACCTTTACTCGTCTCGGAGGTTCCAGTTACTCCACTACGAAGAACGGCTACGAATCGAAGGCAATTGCTCTGCGACGCATAGATTTGAAATAAGTAGTCAAGCAGAGAAGTGTTTTCGTTACGAATTTCGATGCATGTAGGTCGAATGGAATCACGTTTCTCGATTGAGTTGATCTCTTCAGAATCTATGGTTGACCCATTCTAGGACGGACGAAATGTTCGCCTCACATTTTAATTTATCAGCGCCAAAATTTCTCACAATTTGTAAATTGAGGAAAATACAAAGACAGGACCTCTCACATTTTCAGACATCTACACAATTCTCCGCAATGTCGCACTCTTTGTTCTGATGAATGTTTTAACACCCTAGATCACGCTTCCACAACTTTCTAACTTAAAATCAAAGAAGCTATCCACATTCAATGGGAGAAACCTACTCTTAATCACCAACTTTACCATGTTAAATCAAAACTTTCCTTATAAATGAATACATCGTTCTGTTACTATTGTTTGTTTTGTCCAATCAACATTTTGTTACACGCTTTAAATTCAACTTTTGTACTTTGTCTTATTCAGAACTGAAGATGACAGAAGAACTGTCGAAACATGTTTTTTAAGTTTAAAAGTGTCGTTCGTTTTGGTAAAGTTTCCGCACAGCCCCATACTACATTATGCATTCAGTTCTTGGATAAAGAAAACAATGACAAAAGTAATACATTGCCATTTGGAAAACAGATTTGTTTTACAATAGTATGGGGCTGTGCGGAAATTTACCTTCGTTTTCTTAAATTCGCTACCTATCTGCTTCTATCTTGTTGTTTAGTTTGATGAATGACAGAATTGTTTTTGAATTTGAATTGTGTTATGCCTCGATCTTCAAAGCCTCCCGACACATGTAAATGAGGTGGACCAAAGTGGCAGGGTATTCTGCAGTTGATCCAGCATTTCTTTTCGAGGCTTTGTTTCTTTATTTCAGTAACTGACAAATTGGAAATGGAAAACTCGGCTAAGCTACAGAATACCTTGCCATTCATTTACATGTCATTGAATAAGAATAACGTTCACTGTGTTAGACCCCGATCTTCAAAGCCTCTCGACGCATGTAAATGAGCTCGAGGTGGACCAAAGTGGCAAGGAATTGTGCAGTTGCTCCGAAAACTCTTAAAGTCAGTTGCAAACGGAACTGGCGAGTATCAAAAAGAAAATAGAAACTTAGAACTACTGTCCATTTTAATTTCACTTCAAATACTTTTCTTTTTGTTATGTAGAAACAAAAGGAAGAAAAAGCCCTGAGCTCTGCAGTGGACAAAGCATTTATCCTTCGACATAATCCCTTATTGTCTTCTTAGTCTCCTGTCTCGGCGAAGCGTATGCATTATGCAAGAAGAATTTACACCGAAATCTGGTAGAGAAATATTCGGTTGGCAAATTTGCTAGTGGAGAGGAAAACTAACGATTAACACACAGCATCAAGATTTGGCCAGGCCTGAAAGCAAGGGTCGATGTTACTTTCTTTAATGAATGAAAATAAGGGGAAACACAGGAAGGAGGAGGTAAACGCTTCACGAACTTCAAACGATGACGAACTAGAAAGATTTGGGCAAAATATTTTGAAAATTCACCAGATATGTACAATAACTTACAAGTGTAAAAACTCCACATCGAAACACGCACACAGATGCACCACAAGAAGTGCACGGGGCGATTTGGGAAAGACAATTGCTGGCGGTTAATATTTATTTTCGATTGTCCTTTTTTTTCGGCTTGACATCCCAAACTATTACTGATATAAAACGTCTACAACAATAATAGCAAAAAGATGAATAGTGGTACTCACTGCTGACCTCTACGAAATAAATCTTGCAACTCACCTCAAATGGCAATAATTCTGTTTCAAAACACACCCCTTCGATTGGAAAATTAATTGCGATACTAGAATCAAGCTTAAGAATATTTATAGCTTCGAGCGCGAAAAGAAAGAAACTGCAGAATTAATTAAGACACACCCTCAGTCCGTTCCAGTCGCTCGCGTCAAGTTCAAATATTGGAAAAAAGATCGCCATGCTTTCCCTGGTGGCAACCTATTGCTAGCCTGCACTTCTCAATATTACTTAATCCTTCACCCGAAAATTACAACTTTTAAACTGATAGATGGAATCTCGAAGACAAAGGCGATAGTCACTACAACGCCATTGGTTGAAAATTTTCTTGATATCTTCTGTTTGAATGTATTATTCTTTTCCGTAAATTTGGAATTTCTTCCAAGATATCTCTTTTAGTACAACTCTAATCGAATTGCATAATTAGATTATTAATCTTCTGAAATCAATGTTTCGAAAATGAATGGTAGAGTTGTATAAATTTTTTCTCTAGCATGCATATACTGATCCTCGATCATATTCTATTTATTTGGAAATCATGGTTGCTGAAACTCTTCGTGATAAAAAAAATTATCACCTAAAAACTGTTACATAACCAAATTAAGAACAGAAGAGAGTGTGTGTAAGGAGAGAGCAAAGGGGCGCGGCTCCTTCCATGAATTAGCAAGATACGTACTCTTAGGAGCGAATATAATAGTTATGAATTCAGTGTGAAGGATGATTAGCAATAGATATTCGCCAGTAAATGGTACTGTAATTCTCAGTCTTTAGAAATATATGACCTGAAGTGGGTTACAAGCGTAGAGAAATAACCTAGAATGGATCTAAAATATCAAGGAGGTTTATTTTTATAAATTCTCTGTCACGCAATAAATGGTAAACGTTTTGTCATAGAAAAAATTCATGATCAGGACTTGAGTTTAAAAGCTTGTATAAAAATAGAACTATTCATCAAGGCAGGCAAAATAAAAAAAAATTAAAAAATGTTGTGTAATTGTTATCCGTGTAAATATTGCTATAAATATATTCACTTTCAAAGAAAAATTCGACATTATTCTCTGAAAGGAAGGTAAACATAGCATGGATCCCACACTGAGACCAGGATAAGTGTAATTACGCATAGTTGAAAATTATAAACAGCTAAATAACAAACCTCGAGAACTGTTGTAACTAGAGGCCAAAACCAGATGTCAACAGCAACAAAAACGAAACAAAAAAAAGATGCGATAATGTCTTCGACGCCAATGCCAAATGCAATATACACCGCACAACAAACTTATGGGCTTAAAAGCGCCGTATTTCTTCTGCAAAATTGTTTATTGTTCAATTTTGTCTATTAACCTCAGACACCAATGCTATTGGGAATTCTCTCGGGTAAGAGGAAGATGTACGGCAATTCCAATGATTCATTGCGGGCTTTGATCGAATCGGAGATCTTTTGAAGAGCGACTTGGAAACGAGTCATGGCGGCATCTTCCTCGTCACCAGTCAAGAGGCTGTGTGTAATGTCACCGATATAACGCTATGAGAGGAATAAAACGGAGGTTGTGTTAAAGAACTGTGAGCAAATTCACCACACCTATGGATAGTGTAAAATCTGACATTGGGGAGTTGCGTTGTAAAATATAATATCTTTAACTGAATAACATGATTATATTTAGGGGCTCTTTTTTGTCAGGCTGTCCCTATTGAGGAAGAAGTTCAATTTAAATTGAAAAGGAGATGTACTAGTAAGTTGCCGGGAATATTTCTCAAGAGAAAGGAGCGGGGAAGCCTAAAACTAAGTTCCTTAAAATTGGGGCAATCTGGTGAGGGTCGGGGTGAATTCCTTTTACGTTAGGGGAAGAATCCGCAAAGATGGTTGAGCGCGAAATCACTGGTTACTCGTGGATTCAAAGCCTAGCTTGACAGAAGCTTACCTCATCCTCTGCAAATTGTGTAAAGACGTAACCCAACGCTACTTGTTGAGCAGCCTGAGACTTGCTCGGCAGTGTGTCCATAATGGACTTGAGAGTTGTCTCGTTTTTCTTCGTAGGAGGCGGTTGGCGCATCACCGAGGGAGCATTGGGAACAAAACCTGCCACATCTAACAGACCAAAGTTTACTGCAGCATGCTGACATGAGCACGTGAACACCAAGCATGTTAGCACATGAATGAGTTGATTACGTGTTTCAAGGCCGTTTGGACATCCGTGGTCGTCGCCGACCTCCCCCGCTAAAAAGCCGTTGTCATGAGCATCTTTAATCCAAGCTTGGAGCTCGTTATCGTTGGTGACGTCATCATCTGACTTGTAATAAAGGATGATGACCTCTTTTATGAAAGATGTAATGGCTGACCAAAGACAGAGGGCATCATCCCTAAGAAACAGAAAATTGGTAATTTTATCCAGGCAACTAGGGTTTTGGAAATAAGAAAAACAGTGATGGTGATGATTACACTTTTCAGCTCGTCACACATACTAATTTTCCTTTATAACGAAATTGAGGAAACAAAAGGTCTGTGAAAGGCAGTATATATTCACGGCATTGACCAAAAATTAAGAAGCAGCTTGTAATGATCTAATTCAAAGATGATTCTGAGGTACATTTCTTAGCAATCACCTGAAATAAAACTTGGGTAATTTCTCCGGATCATCAACACCTCTGTCTTTTAAGGCGTCGGGAAGTGAGAGCATACCAAACTTGAAAGTCTTGAAACCTTTCTTAAGGATCTCTTGGGCTCTTTTGTTCTCAGCTACAAAGCCAGTTCTAAGGAAGTTATTGATCGCCATCACACTGCGAAGGTGTGGAAAAAGGAGCTGAAAGACGGGGTGAATCGAGGGCAGCTGTCGCCATACCGCCACAGCAAATGGTTCCATTACAAGGTGGGTTTCGAGTAGATGGGTATTTACCTGCAGAAAGTTGCAGAAAGGTGTCCTTCTCTATCAATAAGAGTTAATAGATTACAACTCAGAAAGGAGCGCAAAATCAGCGTGTCAACATGTTCAGTTGTTTTTATGATTTAAGTCTGAATGAAATTTATTTTATCGCAAAGAGGTCTTAATAATTTACGTATACTAAAGAAGCAATTCCAGTACTGCTTAACTGAAGGGGAACAAACACAGTCAAGGATAGAGATGAAAATAAAATGTACCGCAAATATCAACCTTGAAACACGAGGCATTTTCTGGTTACAAGCCACCCTTTCATGGGCTGTTTTTGATCTCTTGATAAGATGTGGTTCTAATCTATGAGAAATATGCCTAATGGACAACAAGTTCCATTTCTAATGATCGCCTATTGAGCAGTCTCTCTTTCATCAGCCTATGGTCCGGCTACAAGTTGACGACTCATGACGTTTAAATTAAAGGGGTCCACTAATAAAATACCATGATCTAGAGAAATACCTGCTGTACTAGAGAGTCAGCACTACGCAGCCACATCTTTGCCAGCAGCCAATCATACTGAGAATCACTTGGAGTCCATATTGGATTGGTGTCGCTTGGTTGCTGGAAAAACTGAATGGCAATGGGAACCAGGTCGCCTGAAGCGTTGACATAAAACAGACCCAGAGGTTGTGTAGAGTAAGTGCCCTCTCTATCTGGAATTCCCTCAAGCATCTTGTAATCTACAATGTACACGTGACCTGCCTATTGAAAAACAGTTGAATTGACATTATGATGTGCAAGAAATAGTTGTAAAAAGAACTTTGCAAAAAATTTATTTCATAATAATTAATATTTCTGCACTAGACCCCTGTTTCTCATTTGCAAGACAGGAATCCTTCGGCATTGCCAATATCAAATCTAGTATACGAGCCATCTCGTCTTTCAGAGAGTCGGATATTTTCTTTATCTTCCACTTCAACATCGTTTTGTCTAGGACGTTTTCTTTTTTATAATAGCATCCTAGGAAGCAGGTTGTTTTGATGCACACTTTGCACGATGCGTTTTATAGTAAAACATACCTGCATTTCCTCTTGCAGAGTCGTTCCTCGATTCATACAGCTTTTCACCATTTCTTCAGTGACAGGGAAATTTTTTGGCAACTTCTCACAGCGCTGGATGATGTTCGGATTTACGCCGTTCAAGAACATTGACCCGAATACCTCGTCGGTCATCCATCGGTCATCTTCGACTATCTTCAGCCGACCACGATTAAGGCTCTGAAGAATCTTTTCAAAATCATCGAAATTGTCCCAGCTGTCGAAAAGTGTCATCAAATAACCGAGACCTAGTTTTAAAATCGCTTTTTTAATGTCTTCCTTTATGGTGCTCCTAGCTTCATCAGAGAACTGCGAATCCCTTGGAATATCTGCATGTGTCGCTGCTTGAAGATAACCAGGAAGTTCCTGGTACACCTCCTGATTTCCCCATTTGTAATACTCCTGGCGATTTTTTACTTCAAAAATTCGTTGGTTTTTAACGGCATCTGGCTGCTCTTGGAATGGAAGAGTAGCTGTAAATAGGGTATGGAAAACATGCTGAAATTTATCTATTTGCCATACTATAATCTAAGTATTCGATTGACGCTATTCGTATTTAAAAAAAAATAAGATAAAGGGGAGGATACTTCCACAAAAAGTGTGTTACTACTTTTTTTCTACAAGTAAGATATTGATTTTGCATCATTTTGAAATAAACTTGATTTGGGCCTAAGACTTTTTGTCCAACCATAAATATTATCCATTTGCTGTGATGGCTAAACTTCTACAGGTCCCGTATGGGTCGTCCATGTCGCACAGGAATAGGGTTAAAGGTGTGACAACGGAATGTGCTTTGGTTATTTTGCTTAGGAATTTTCATTTAGGTGAAAAACGTTGTCATGTTAGAGAACCTGTATAGAGGGAAAGGAAGTGTTACTCGATTCGACCGTCTTCGAGGGAAAGCGAAGTATAGATCTATATCTGCCTGCTTGGAAAAACAGATGGGGTAACAAATAGAGACAACCTGGAGAAGCACTCGAGTCGTGATAAAGGATAGTAAAGAGTTGATGTTTTCGCCTCCTACCCTGGATGAAGAGCAGAAGTAAAGATGGTGAGTGAGGGTGACATAAAACTGAACACGATAAATTGTGGAGAGCTCTAAAGAGCTACAAATCGAATTCGCTCATAGTTGTAACGAAAGCCATACAAAACCTTTAGTAAGATTTCTCCCGCAGATGGAAAGATATTATAAATATAGGAACATACCTCTCCCTTCAAATACCACCAAATCAGATAGCACCCAGCGATAACATGGAAACTCAAATGGCTCATCCTGAGAGGAACTTATCACTGCGATCTTGTTCACGAACCAATCAGGATTCTTGTACCACCAACCACCTTGGTCATTATGAAGATGCATCATAAGAATTTCGCCAACATCCATTGCCTCAACGGAATATTCATCAACGTCTCCTCTCTCAAAGTCATTTCCCCATTTATCCAGTTTAATCATATCTGTCTTTCCTTTGGTGCCTGAATAACGATAAAATATCAGTATAATGATATCTTGACTCCATATATGGCTTACCGATCAGACCAAAAATCATTTAATGTGATTCTTCAGTATTGCGTATCCTGTACTACGCCTAAAAATTACGTAATCAGGCGAATAAGCGCGCATTCCGAAAACACGGTATTGTTTTCAATTAATGGACCAGGTAGAGAGGTACGATGGTCTTTAGCTCGTGAACGAGCACAGTGATCTATATTTTTTATTGCATAATCTTGGTGTACAAATTATCCCCTTCAAATTGGACAAATTAAAAAAAAATACATCGAAGGGAAAAAAAATAGCTAAATGCATACACAAATCCCGCTACTCGATGATGCAAATTATGACCTTGAAAGCAACGATTCGAGGAAGGTTTTGAGTCGATGTCGTATAAAATTGCGTGATTTTTTCACAAATTATATATGAAATTGTTCCATGCGTTCGAGACTTTCTGCCTATCAAGTTTTTCTTCTAATTTTATCTTAAAAACCTTTCAGCTAGCTCAAATTGTACCGTGAACCGATGAAATGACCCGCGTCATTATTGCCAGAACAGGCATAAGTGATGTAGATTTGGCTCATCATATCTCTTAACCGCAAGGTGATCTATCTTTTAAATTGTAAGTTTCAAAACAGACATTGGTAGGGAAAATTTAAGGAAAGTAAAAAAAAAAATTGATCGATAACTTCTTTTTCTGAGGAATCACCTTAAGAGTTTAGGTACGTCACCTGTTAATGTAATTGAAATGGAAGCGTCCGTTCCTGCTCCAGACTGGTCTCCAGTTTCTACGCGGATAAGATAGGATGTCAGGTGCTCTGGGACAAGCTTGTTTGATCTGTTTTTACGTAGCTTCTGAGACCAAACGTACACATCATTACGAATTTGGACAACGACATTGGGATCGTCAACAGACACGGCTGGTAAAACACCAATTGAAGCAGGAAGATTTTTATAAATAAATTTCAGGCGTTCCGTTGCCGTCGGGGACAATAGTGACGTCATTTTGATGTCAGCCACATCAAGCCATGGATGTGTTTTCTCGTCCCATTCCCTCCCAACTTGAAGGATCGTTGGAGGATCATTTTCCTTCGGTTCATGGAGTTGCAGCTGTAGTTTATAGTCGAGTGGTCCCTTGGAAACTCTCTCTTTGTACTCACGCTTGAGGTAGTCCATTGGTAAAGTCTCATCGGGTGACCTTTCATTTATCCTGTAAGGAAATAAAATATCCAGTGGAAATTTTTGTACTAGCTTTTGTTTATTCCGGAGTTGGAAAATTTGCATCCCGTATTTGCAGGAAATATACTGTATGGAATCTTTTTGCCCGAAGTAAAATTCAACTTTACGAAGGTTCGATTTCTCAAACTCGTGGTATTTACATTTACCACTATATCAGTTAGATTTGACGTTCCCAACTCACCATGGCTGCCACTGGACTTCCTCAGACAACAAGCCTGTTTCTGATCGCCCATCAGCGGGCAGCAGCCGGAATCTGACGTAACGCTTCACTTCATCGAACGCTTTGAAGTCGAAAATCACTTCTGAGTAATATCGCTGGTCGTAAAAAGATTCAGGCTTTTGGCGTAGACCTCCAATGTTGGCTTTGAGACTGTAAACGTAAGAAAGGAAAAATTAAGAATTCCATCGTCGTCTTTGTTGATGAATAAAAAAAATTCCAAAGTGGAGTCTTCAAGTCACAATTCTACAATGGGGGTACATACTTTTCTTCAAGTTCTTAAAAAAACAGGAATCCGTAAACGTAAAAAAACACCTTGCAAAAACCCTTCGGAAAAGGGGTGAATTGAAAATTTCAGAATTCTTCCACTTACTGATCAGGCCCAAGAAGCAAATAAGTTTTCAAATCCTTTGTGATATTGGCTCTTACTGCATCAAATATGGCCTGAGAACTCCATAATGGTGTTGTCGGTCCAGTCCCCATAATGAGATCGCACGGACTATCCATTTCATCACTTCCGGCAAACCTTAACGCCCCGCCGCAAAAGTCAATCAGTACGTCATCCACGGACTTGATAGTAGAGTGACGGAGGCAGACTGGGTACGTAGTTCCGGGAGTAAAAAACTCACACGCTGGAAATTGTGGATTAGAGACAATTGTCGCAATCCCCTCAGATCCAACTCCAACTGGGTGAGTTGCTCGTTGTCCCTTGACTAAAACGATCGCGCCAAAGACTAACTTGAGTTTGGTAGTATCATATGCAATTCTGCTTTGAGCGAAAAGTCCAGGTGGGGGAAGAGGCTAGGTGAAACGAAGGAAAACCCGTAAGACTAAGTTTTCGGTTGTGCGAGGTACCAGTGTTGTAGGACTGTTTTCAATAAGGGAAATAAATATAACAGGAGCAGAGCAGAATATATGGGTTGGTGTAGAAGTTTTTTTGGCATTAGACATTTTTCAGTGAATACGAAATTAAGGGTTTATGGGATGGACTGATATCTCCTCCAAAAAGAATAACACAATTTCACCTTTTCAAATTCCTCAACTTTCTCTCTGAATAATTCTTCCCCCATAAGTCCTTTGTAGACTTCATAACCAAGGTTACGCCCTGAAATGAAGGAAGCAAATTCAGACAAATTAATTAACGCTACTAATAAAAGTGGACGATTTTCCGGTAAATTAGAATCTAGAATTGAAGATATATAATAGAGAAAACCAAACAAGGCAAACTTACAAGGTGTGTTGGCTTTGATAACGACCCTGAAAAAAGACGATAGAATCGATAAACTTGAGGTGGTTAAAAGTGGGTGTAGGATAGGTGATAAAAGCCGAAGTGGTTAGGAAGGTAGATGTTTAGGAGTGTGGGGTTAAGTTAACGACACCGCACAAAATTACGAAGAAAAGGTCATTTGATAACTTTAAAAAGAATACATTAATTCGTGGATAACATCAAGATGGTAAAGAAGGAGGGGAGAGATCCCTTCAGAAGCAAGGAAGTCACCTTGGCAACTGAACCACAGCCACGTCCAGTCGCCTGTCAACACAGCACCGTCAAACCGGTCTGGTAACCAATACTTTCCCATAAGTGGCGAGGGGAAGGGGGGGAGGGAGCACATGGTAAGGCTCCTAAAAACATCCCCTGGGCTCCTCACATCCTCTTGAGTAAACTGCTGGATTGACTTAAATTTAACCATGCCTATATTTTAGCCTAAATTGATTTGAATATTAGATGTTTAAAATCACTACTAATGTATGCAACTAAAGTACGTACATACCCATCGTCCTGTTTGTCATTTTTGCCAGACTTTTCTGACTTGTCCGGCTGTATCGTCTCGTTAGAGATGACGACAGCCTCTTGTGAGCTGACGCAACTTCCCATTGTGCAATACGCGAGGTTACAGTTTCTATTCCACAAAGGCCATAATGAATTATGGACGGAATCTAAAACAGGACAAGAAAATAGTTATAACTGTCTCGTTTATAAAATCCTTAGTGGGTTGGGGAAAGCGCAAAGGCTTTCAATTAAACATATTCACAGTAAAGAAGCAAAGAAAATGAATTAGTTAGGGTGGTTATCTTACTTGTTAAAAAACTCTCAGCATCCACCCGGAAAAATTTGGTTAAAAAATTCGAGTACACGATTCACTTAAAACACCTGGGATTTCTTACCACCAGGTCTTTTTAGAGACGTTATTTGAAACACACATTTGCGATTATCTCCCGAATTTAGATGCGAGTGATGTCAAAATTAATTTATATGATTAGCTGAATTGTTCACGCACTGTACGTGGTCCTTAAGTTTTGATCCATTGGAGGAAACACGCATAGCTGACGTCACAATTTTTGTTTTTAGTCACATAAAACAAATAAATTTCATCAAGGCGTCTGCCACTTTTTTTGTTCCTCCCACATTTTGACGTCATCGGTTATCTACTACTATACAAACGACAGCATTTCATCCCTTTTTTGTTTTAATATAATTTAGGTCACGTAACTGTGGAACTAAAACCAACCCTAGTATCAGTCAATTCGAGTTTGTGTTCATTCCTTTTTAGCTTAATTCAAGCGTTGACAACTCTCGAGGGAAAACTCACCACGTTATCCATTGGATGACATGTTCATTTGGAAAATTCCTTTGCCAAGATGTGGGTCGGTTTTCTAAAAGGCTAATTTATCATTGTTTTTATTTTCTTATCACAGGTTGCTGCTTCCCACGTCCCACAACAAAGCAGTTTGCTATGGTGACGGAAAAGTCATCAAGTACAATGTGCTCTTTCAACCATAACAGCATGACAATATTACTGAACAACAAGTTTAACAAATAAAAGCCTCTGATAACCCTAATCTTAACAAATCCTCTAAGATAAAAGCAGACATGGTGGATTAGATAGGTCGATTTCGTACGTTTGCGTGACTGTACGGGTGACTAGATAAAATGTCTTTGAACGCCTTTGTAAACAAACGAACGAAGTCGACTTATGTAAATTGCCTCAAGTGTTATCTAGCCCTGTCAATGAGGGTTCATCATGTTCATTTACCTAACCTACTGGCAGCTAATGTCACGTTCATTTGAAACCTTCCGTTTGCATTTCAATGCCCACTTTTGCAATGTTTGCTTTACGTTGTGAATGTTTCACGGTCATCGAATACAGTGAGAAAACAAAATAACCCCACTGAACTGGTTTATTCACGTATGACTTAATCTAACGGCAAAAGGCTTCTAACGAATAGCCAAGGCATGTAGGTACGACACCTTTATCCTTTGGTTTGTTTGAAGTTTGACTTAATAAAATCAATGATCAAGGCTAAGGACTCCATATTAGACGCGATTCTTGAGAGTTCACTGTTTCACCGATTCTTCAACAGGCGTTAACAGCTGGTCTGGAGGCAAAGCGTTTAGTAGTAGTTTGATTTTAATAACATTAGTCTCCCAAATTGATTTTGAAAAGTATTAACGTATGCACAGGTTTCTATCGAATCCTAATATGCCAATTTTTCGTTTTGCAGGTAATTAAGAAAATAGCATGGAACATTTGTATCATGAGCTCATGTCAAATATGCAAATCTAAAACCTGACACTGTTTGGCTCAAATTACTTCCAATGTCTTAGGTTATGGAAACAGGCAAACTTACATCATTGGTACTTACTTTGATTAACCTTAACGACAGCTCCAGATGATAAAGGCGGCAGACTACCACTACACTGACTCGTTTTTATTGACCAACCAACTAAATAAATATATACTACGTCATGCAATGTTTCACAGCGAATAAACATGACGGTTAGCCTTGTACCCAAGCCTCCATTCATTCACCAGCGTTCTTACACAACAAGGTGAAACCTGTAAATGACTGTAAATATATGAAAATCATATATGTGAACTGCGGTTGAAGAAACGAATATGGAAGCAATCCTCACAGTTAAGAACACTACATAAAGAGTAGTGAGAATAAAGGCTGAAAAAAAAACTCAGGCTCATACAGGATTTTAACCCATGACCTCTGTGATACTGGTGCAGTGCTCTACAAGATGCGCCAATAAGCCAACTGGGAAGTTGGCCATTATGTTAATTCCAAATAAACCCTTGAAGTGGTGAATACATGACTGTGAATCTATGAAAATCATATATGTAAAATGCGGTTGAAGAAACGAATAAGGAAACGATCCTCGCAGTTATGAACACTACTTTAAGTAATAGTGAAAATAAGGCCTAAAATATGTTTTTTTCTTTGATACCTCGCGAGAGAAAATTAACTCATTTTTGGACACGTCAGCGATAGAGTCGCAAGAAGTGGCGGAAGGCAGTCAAAACAAAGAAAACATAAAGGACTTTCGTGGGGTAATTCTGCTACATAGAACAGTTGGCTTTGTTTCCTGTCTCTCGAAATAAGCAAAGCGATGATCTTTTTGCTATGTGATAAATTCTTTACTAACCGAGTTTGTTCTGTTAAAATGATTAGTCCCGTTCTTTTCTGGCGTTCGTCGAAGTCCATGAAAAAAAAAAGAACTAGGCTAATATCCATCCATTTTGACCTCACGCTTAGCCAATGACGCACATATATTTTTGGGTGCTTTTGCAGGTTCACCATCCTTCGAGTCGTTTACTGAACATTTCAACTAAATACAGTTTGGATGGCGAACTTTCCAGATCAGAACGTTTTGACCAGACCCAAAACCTTAAATTTTTCGGCAATATTAGTCAGTAATGGGTAACCTTTAGAGAAATAGCGGTTTAAAATTAGCGATATTTGAGTTTGTACGTCTGGTGATATAGATGGAAAGAAAAAGATCAACATTTCTTTTTCTCGACCAAAACATTTTGAAGCCTTGAAGAACGTTTTATTTTGGGATTGATGGGAAATCTTTGCGCCGACAAAAAATTGACCCATTTCTTTTAGAGGTGGGCATTTTGAAGAAAGATCTATACCCTTATTTGGCATTGCAAGTGTCTCTCCATGATACCCACGCTTTATTTTTTATGGCTACAGCTAAAGCCATTATATCGTCCGGAACGATCCCCGGTGGGACAGCAGTCTTCCAGTGTTCATGTATTCGATCTTTCAGGTGTCGCACAATGTTAGGATGCTTATGGCTTACGTCGTAACGTTCTGTAGGATCAGCGGTTATGTTATATAGGGCCAGTTCTACGATGTTTGTTTTTTGATCCTAAAAAATAATAAAAAAAAAAGTTATCGTTCGTCTAAAATATTTTCTCGCATTCTGCTGCTTCTCAGATTCAAAACTTTTGTTTGAAAAGGGGTACCGTGCGGGTAGAGTATTGACCAAAATAACCGAACACCCTCCCTGGTGTGTGAAAACATAAATCGTAACAGAAGATCAAGGGTCTGGTTTGCTGGGAGCGCGCATGGGGAATTTTGATCACTTCCAAGAAAACTCAGTCAAACAAACAAAGGAAAAATCGGCGACTACGACGTGGAATGCGTTTGAGCAAGAAGATAAGAACAAGGAAAACCCATTACCCAGATTTCTTCCCTGTCCGGAGCGATTCCACCTTCTTCTGGAACCTGGTACCAAGTGGCATTGGGTACATGCATCAATAACTTCATGTCACCAACACGAATTGCTGCTCCGCTGTACCATGTGTCATATGTCAATAAAAGCCCTGGTCTTTTCTCAGGAAAGTCAATATTATGGAGAAGCTCTGTCCTGGGTGAAGGTGTTCCACTAGAAATGGTTTCCCATACATCAAAGCCATCCACTGGCATAGGGTTTGAATCCACTGTGGCACCTACAAAACAACACAAGCAAGTTACCATGACTGTGCTTAGGCATTCAAACCGTCTCCAAACGTAGGATTAGCAAAGACAGTAGGAACTGTATAGGTGTTTATGAGTTAGATTTCGGCCAAGTTCTGGCCGTCCTTTACCCGACAAAAAAGAAAACAAAAAAAAACAACAAATAGAACAACAACATTACTACTGAGTATCTGAAAAATATTCCAACATGTAACCCACTCAAAAGACAGAAAACAGTGCATTTTAAAACGTATCTTCAATGGTATTGAAGTGAATACATTTATATGCCAGTTACGTTCAATTTGTCCAAGTTAACTATTCCATCGCTGCAAAACCTAACGTTAGCGTGGAAATTAACACCTCACCAAAATAACCAAGTAAAACCTTCTGAAATGTCTAAAAATGTCTTCTTCTAGAAATGTCCATCGAATGTGATAGGACAACTCTTCAGTCTTCGCGATTTTTTGAAAGACCTAACATATATCCTCTGTAATCGTCCCCAATTACGTTCATCGGTGTTCCCTTGAGGGTTCTAGGATTTCAAGCAACACCCACTCAGAAAAAAAAAGGTCCCCCTAAGGAACAGCTTTGTGTGACAATCCTTGGCAGTGATTTCGAACTTCACTCACATCGTAAGTAAGCGCTAGCCTTCAAGGACGCCCTTTTCAGTTCAAGAAAACGGAAATAACTATGTCTGTAGTACCTGCTAGGTTAACAAGAGTCGGATACCAATCAGTTACGTGAATGAGATCACGTGAGATCACCCCCTTCCGTTTTAGCATCTGACCATGAACAAAACCGCACGCTTTCACCCCACCCTCCCACAACGTCTTCTTGTATCCACGCAGGGGGTAGTTGAAGCCGCGGTAGAAAGGGTCTCCACCGTTGTCCGAGCTAAAGATCACAAGAGTATCATTCCACAACCTAGAGGAGTCAATAAAAAGAGCAGTAACTAACAGTAATTAGGATCAATATGAGGATGATGGCGCCTATTTAACAAAGATATCCCTCCCAGACCATCCCAAACCAAATGACCTTCTGAAAAAAAGATGTCACCTTTCAGTGGCATTAAATTTCCCCATCTCACCCAGTTTTAATATCTTGTATTTGTTCTTTGGGTTTTAACGCAAAGCCTCTTCCCAAAGTGGTGCGTCTTTCTAACACAATGTGTTGTGGGGGAGAGGGGGGGGGAGGAGGAAAGGAGTGAAATCCCAAAGAAGGCCATATCCTCAAAGACCCAGGGGAGCATACAATGACGGTTTTAATTCAACGCGAAAGTTTATCTGATGGATGTCTGCACTGAACAGAGACCGCTGTTGAGGTTTTTCTCTCCCAAGTATTTTCCTAGGGATCTCCAAAGATGAAGAGAAACATGAAAAATTTTATATGAATCTATGATTTTTAGTTTTAGTCTCTGAGTGCCGACATTAGTCCACACTGAAAAATCACAATGATGATGTAATAAATTAAACAACAACAACAAGGAAAACAGACAAAGTAGAGTAATAAAACATGTAAATACTCCTTTATCTCCAAGTTGATTGTGCATGATTAAATATTTACTTCTGTTTTCTTGATATTTATCAACATAATATTAACCCTTTCCACCCTAACATCAGTATATATATTCTCCGTACTGTTTTCCATACATTTCCTAAGGTGGGTCAAGGTGCTAACAGGGAGAATTTGTTTGACAATCAAGAACTTCTTCTTTAGTTGGTGTTCATTTCCTTTATTCTCTTTCATACAAGGGATATAAAGAAATTAACAGGGAGAATTTGTTTGACAATCAAGAACTTCTTTAGTTGGTGTTCATTTCCTTTATTCTCTTTAATATAAGGGATATAGAGAAATTAGATGCTAATCATTCTTAGAGGTCAAATAGTTACTCAGGATGATCTCATTATACAACAATGTTTCAATATTTCCCAAACCAAGCCACAAAAGCTGTCTGTAGGTAGCAATCAAAAAATGCCCTTACCCTTTCTCTCTAAAAGCCTTTGTTATGTTTCCAATGGCTTCATCCACCACATCCATCATGGCCGCATAAGTTCGCCTTTCCCTATCTTTGATGAAGCTGTATTTGTTCAGGTATTTTTCAGGCACCTGAATTGGGTCGTGGACATTCTCAAATGCCATATATAAGAACAAAGGCTTGGAAGAATTATGCTCTTCAACAATTCTCTTGACTTCCTGCACAAAATGTTGAGATTTGATTCAGGGAGAAAAAACTTAAACTCTCGACCAAAAAGCCATTCAGCTTTCTTTCATATGGTTTTAAATTCCAGAAATAGCTAAGAACATAATGGGATTTCTTGCACTACCTGTCACACACATATGACTCAGTGTCCGGTCCCTCACCTGAATCCTTCAAGGTGAGCTTAAGGGCTACTGGTGAAAAGAAAACAAACTATGTGCCAGCATTAATTTACTAAGACAGAACTCTTATTCCAAATCACCTGCACATAAAGGTGGGAAGTGTATTGTCCTTTGTACCCTCTTGCAACTTTTTCACCCTCAAAGAGGTCTAAAAAGCCATCATGGGTGTGGTTGAAGTGGTCGTGTCCATAGTTGTAGAATCCAAAGAAGGAATCAAAGCCTCTGTGTGTTGGAGTACTCACAGATGTATAGTGACCTAAATGCCATTTTCCAACAAGATGTGTTTTGTAACCTGAAAATGGCAACATAATAAAATGAAATGAATTCATGAAAATAATTAGTATAGAATTAAGGTGGAAAGTAATTTGTTAAAATGGAGAAAATGATGGCAACATAATATGTTGAAATGAATTAATAAAATGGAGAATTGAGTAATCAGGGGTCAACTGAGGTATAGCCAGAGCCATAATGGGGTATTTTCTTACTTGTCGCTTTTACCTTTAACTCCCACTATCTCATTAGTAATTCTCCTCACTTTCTGCCATACAGTTGTTGTAGTGTTAGTTTGGAGAATTTGGTACTGGATCAGCTATTGATCCCCTAAATAATATTTTCTTTCCTATGATTCTCATCACTTGTCTACTTGATATTGTATTGATATTGTAAGGAGAAATTCTGTCTTGGTCACTCATGGGAATTAAAGGATTAAAAGTTTTTTTTTTTAAACCAACAATCAACCTTTCCTTTAGTTCAGCCTTCCAGATCTTTAAATTTAGTGAAAATTACCCCAGGTATGTTGCATGCAGCATCTTTAAAATATATATTTTTTCCTTTTGGAGCTAGGAGCTTGCACTCTACCAAGCATTTTATCTGTTTTGCCCTCTAAAATTGTCAAATTGAAACACATCCCTGACCATTACCAAAAGTTACTTAATTATCCAACCTCAATCTAATTAGCTTTTTGAAGCAGAGATCAGCACGAACTGATTGAAATTTTTATTACATAATAAAGTAGCTTGGAAGGGCACTACTGAGGGATTTTGATGGAATCTTGGAAATTCTTGAGTACTACATAATTCATTGATTTAAGTGAAAGCATTAAGACAAAATTTCGATACTTCCTGTTCAGATAAAAAATATTTGCGCATGCACATAAATGTGTTCAATGCTCGTGATGATTTAGCCTTACAACTTGAATATGCTTGAACTAGAGAATTTCTCTGGCAAATTTGTCAGCGCTATTCTTGTATACCACAATTAAAATACTCTGTGCGATTAAAATACTTTGTGCAAAGAACTCTCTAAAAGACATGCTGCAGACTTAGAATCTGCATAATTTTAGTTTATAAATAAATGGTCGTTTATTCATAAATAGTTATGTTCATTCATTTACATAGCTCTTTAATTTTACCTTAGTTTGTTTTTAGTGTTTCTTTGGAATAATTCTAGCTTGAACATGAACTCAAATGCAAAACTCACATCCAAACATGTACTCTAAGTTGTTTACATTTTCAGTTTTGATGACTTTGTGAGTGGTTTTGGGTTTTTATCTACATTTATTAAGTTTTTCCTTTTTAAGTTATAAATTAAACTGACTATATCAGGATATTTTTTTTAGTTATGTTTAGATGCTTATCATCATCAACAGCAGATACTTGGTTCATACTACAAGTCATTTTGGAAGCCTTTGCCCTTTAACTCCAAGAAGTGATAACATATAATTTCTCCCTATAATATCTATACATTATCCTGTAAACAGGTAATGAGAATATTAAAAGTTATCAGGTAGATGTTGCTATCTTGATCTACAAGTACAGTTATACCAAATTCTTGTAACTAATTTCAAAGGAAATGTGAAGCAGCTGGAGGGGGAAATTAGCAATCAGATCTTGGGAGTTAAAGGATTAAAAGAAACATAATTTAGATACTTAACCTACCTACTTCTTTTAACTTCTCTGGTAGAATGGAGAATTCTAGAGGAAGTCCAAAAGGGGTTAAACTAAGAATTGCTCGATGTTGTAGGCCTGAAAATGTAAAGAAACAGCTGTCAGTAATTCTTCATTTGAGTTTTTTAGGTTATACTTTGCTTAAATACTGTTTGAAGAAACCAGCTTATAAGGAATATGTCCTGTATTTAAAATGGAAGGTTAAAGATTTCATGTTAACTTTGCTTTTTGCACTGTGAAATTTTGCCACAAACATGGCTACAGGCTGAAAAAATGGGATTTCCTGGGTAAATCAAAATGGAGAAGTCTATAAACAGATAATGCAGGAATTGTAAATGAAATTCTGAAACCAGTCTTCCACTCATCACATTTAACTTCGCCAAAAATCCTTTTCTTTAACATGTCCTCCCTGAAAAGTTGAGATGGGAAAGATGGGTGGAGGGGGAGTGGCATGGACCTCTAAGTCTCCTTTGTCCCCACATGATCCAGTTGACAGCAATCTTCATCCCACATGTATACAAACTGAGCTTGGTCTTCTACAATCCATTTCTCTGACACTGATATGATTAGCTTGTTTACTTGATTCAATAATGTTGATTAAGTTTCAGTAAAGTTTAATTTACTTGTCCCCACTTTAAAGTTACCCTTACCCTCCCCACTAGAAATTGAATGAACATAGCATCTCGGGTTCCTAGCAGTGGCTGCGGGACAACTTGGTACAGAAGTTCCTCTAAGGTCACAAAAGTTGGATCAATGAAAGTTTCTCAGCAACTACGCACCTACCCCTCCCCTAACCCAAAATTAACGCTGGCATGATATCAGCTGTTGAGATACTGAAAAGTTACCCCCTAAAGGCCGGCCAAAACATGTTTTTCGTGAGTCTTGAGGAAGAAAACTAGTAAAACATGCGCACCGGTGTGTATTGGATACCGGCCTGTCATGAGAGATCCTCTAGTTGGTGTACAGTATTGTTGGACATAGTAATTCTCAAGGATAACTCCTTCACGAGCAAGTCTGTCTACATTAGGAGTCTTTATTTGCGAACCATGATATCCAACATCGCTCCATCCCAAATCATCGACCAATAGTAGCAATATGTGAGGCTGTGAAGCTAGAGCTTGTGTCCAGAAAATACAACAAGAGATGATGGAGACGACCGTCACAGTAAATGCAACGTTATTGAACAAAAACATCACCGTAGTCTAACGCCTTCTTCGATCCTCTTGAGAGAGGAGCGCGGGCTCATTTTCCTAGAGGCTGGTGATGTGACAAGGGGGTAAAAAATTTTACAACTTGAGTTTGATTGAAGCATGCCTAATATTGTTACAAAATGTTAATTACAGTTAAAATCATACGATAAATAGAAGTTAGGATTAAAAAAAAAAACAAAAAAAAAACAGAAGAAGAATATGTACATATCTCAGGGTTTAGCGATTGTGTGACTGACTACCTGACCCTGCGTGACCGTGACTGTATGACAAATGTGTGGAGGCAAACCCCACGCGAGCAAAATATGAGCCTGCGATAAAAATATCGGGAAAAAAAATCCAAAATGTCGGAACCGAGGAAAGAGGCTTTAAAGAGCAAATACGGTGGTTTACCTCCTGCCCCGAAACGACCTGGGAAATCTTACGGGTAAGAATTAAGACACTGAATTGATTTAATCTTAGGTTTGTAAAAAACTTTATGTAGGTGGTTTGTAAAGAACTTTATGTAGGTGGTTTGTAAAAAACTTTATGTAGCTGTTGTTATGGACTGAGATCTTTTGATCGCACAAACAGAACTGCGGGAGGACTGAGACGAAAGCGTGATTACACACCGTTGTCTTGGGAAGATTACTTCGATAGTTCGAGAGATGTTTGTGTCAATGATAAAAACGTATCTTTTGTTCCACTGAGTGCTTCTGTAATGAGAGAAGGGGAGATCCCTCTAAATTCCATACCCACGTTAATTACGAGTGCTGTGATTGTTTAAAAGTTATTTTAGTACAAAAGTCATGTTAATTCATTTGACCTTACTTCTTGTGCATACTACAGTTGTATTTTTCGAAATATTTTATGCAATTGTGATTACTTCATGCAACGGCCAGCATGTTGACGTTGAATGTCATAAGCTGTGGTCGTTACTACTGGAAAATGCATTCCCTTTTGTTGATTAACTCTTTAACTCCTATCAGTGAATGACTTCAACATTTGTATAATTTCTCCTTTCCTTTTCACTACCCTTGAATCAAATGTAAAAAGGTCATGAGAATAATAGAAATGATAACCAATTCAAGAAGCCCCTAATTTTAAAAGTCTCCTTGTCGTCCTTAGGAAATGTTAAGAGGAAAGTGCAAAGAATACAGATATTAATGTTAGGTATGGGTGGCTGTCACCGCCAACAATATAGGCATAGTAAATCATTTGTAATAAATAGAAATGGTCTACTTGTCTTTTGGAGAACAGTTTATCTTATCTCAAGAGATTTATTTAAAATACAAATGGACAAGTCACCTATGGTGAAATGAAATATTCAAGCAAAAAATGGTTTATACAATTAGAACATTTCTGTTTATTACAAACCATTCATTTTGCCTGTATTTTTGGCAGTGACAACCGCTCATAGTTAGGGCATGAGGGGTTATGTTTGAGCGAAGTAAGCTTGTTATTCTTGGTACAATTATAGAGGGTGAAAAACTTTTGCTATCTTCATGTGACAAAGAAATTTTTTAATTGATTTATTTCAGATAGGTATTTATATTTCAGATAAAGTTTGACTAAGACCACCAAAATAGCATGCTTAACCATGAAAAAAAACCAACTAAAAAAAACTAAAAAAAAAAAACAAAAAATAGACAGGAACATTCTCCTTACAGTTACAATGCCCTGTCTGGCTTGACTTTTGAAGCTTAATGCCAGTGCCTTGGCAATAGGATATGTACATGTCTCTTTTATCTTTTTACTCCCTTAATCATCAGTATGTATATTGTCCATACTGTTCTTCATGCATTTCCTAAGTTACTGACAAGGAGAAGAACTTCTTTACTTGGTTAGATAATTTCATCGATTCATATGACCTTAATATTTGATTCTATGTTAGTCACTCTTAGGGGTTAACCCTTTAACTCCCAAGATCTGATTGTTAATTCTCCCCTCTTGCTGCTACACATTTCCTAAATTAGTTATGAGAACTTGGTGCTAGATCAAGATAGCAGCATCTACCTGATAAGTTTGAATATTCTCATTACCTGTTTGCTGTATAATGTATGGATATTATTGAGAGAAGTTTCATGTTAATCACTACTGGGAGTTAAAGGGTTAAGTTAAAGTGGCCATGATGAGGAATGGAAAGAATAGGAGAATTTCCTTGACTTATTGCCTGGCAACTTGTGCAATAGAGATTTCGAGTTTACCAGGCTGGTAATTCTGGTCCAGTTCTATTGTTACTTCATGGTGGAGGGCATTCTGCTTTGTCATGGGCTGTCTTCACTGTAAGTATTTGTCATAACACTTTATAACATAGCTAGCACATTCAGGTACCCAAATCCAATAGCGTGAGCGTGTTTTATAATTCTATTGTGCACTCAAATGATTTAAGCAAACCAGTGCCTCAGTATTGAAAATTTTCCTTTGTGATTGACTGCGAACGTCCTGACCAGTCTGGCTGTTTTGTTTTGAGATTTTGAAGATGTTTTCTCCAGTCCATGCCAACTGAGATAGACTTTTGGGAGCTCTTTATGAAAAGTTAATCTAGAGAAGGATGCTGGATTTGAATATATAGTGATGGTCTTTTAAGTCTTTAAAAAACGAAAAGAGCTATCAAGTGATAATACTAAGAGTGTTTTCATCTTTTTTAGAAATCAATCATAAGAATATGTCACTGTCAAGTTTTAGCACTAGATCTCAGAGGCCATGGTAGGTGTATGATTTTTAACAAACCTATAACCATTTGATCCCTTAAAATGACTAACATCTAATTTCTTTTTACAATATCACCCCTGAATCACACATTAAGGTTAAGAGAACACAGGAAATGATCACCATTTAAAGAAGCTTCCGACTTTTAACTAATTCTCCTTGTCAGCATATTGGGAAATGTAAAGGGTAGAGTGTGGAGAATATGCATACTGATGTTTGGGTGAAAAGGGCCAAATGCACAAGATTTGCATGCAGATATCACAGGAAAAACAGAGTTGACAGTTCTATTGAATGATCATATCCTGGTGGAAAGAAATTCCATACAAATACCCTTACTGCCTACCACCTAAATAACCTATAAATTTAGACACTCGTTTCATAAGTGTTTAGTCATATAGTGTCTATACTTGTGTACTTAGCACTACTGGACATGTGTTGAGTGACAATTTTTGTGCTGTAATTTTGAAATATATGAAAATTGCTTCTTTTAAAGGTGACACATCCACAGAAGATGACTCTGATTTGTCAGCGGATACCTTATCAAAGTAAGTTTTACCTGATAATCCTAATGATCTCTGATACCAGATGTATTTGCTAGATTACATGAGGTATGAGTAAGGGAATAATGACTCAATCAGATGTTTCCCTGTGAGTGCTTTACTGGATGTCTGCATGAGAGTGATTGTGAAAAATTGGTTGAATGCATGATCAATGTATAGGAGATGAAAAATTTTGTGTCAGTTTCCCCCAACTTGTAGTCAGGGCCCAATATTAGTAATAAAAATAAGTAATTAGATGTATATTAGAGACAACATGAAATTTAGTTACAGGTGTTCAAAAGTGACTAAAAAAAATTATTTTTTGTTACTGATACATCAACATCCTTTGACATAATTGGTTCCTTGAGGCTCACAGGCTTCCTTCAGCATTGCCCTTGGAAAATAGGTGGCCTTTTGGAACATGGATTGTCTGCTGACTAATATTTGAACATATTTTTGCACAAAGTCTAGGCTACTGTGTATATATTGTAACATGGCCAATAGCATACACGTCCTACAGCTGAACATATTTTATAATGTACATACTTCAATAAGAACCGTTTGTTTCTCACTCACAGAGATGTTGGAAATGTTGTACAGGCTATCTATGGAGATTCCCCTCCACCCATACTTCTGGTTGGACACAGGTAAAATGCACTTATTATGAAATGTCTGGAGCAAATCCTTTTATTTTGATTTGTCCTTAATGCTTAATAAGAGTGTGTATAGCAATATTTACAAAGGAAAGTGCTGTTTATCGAAGCCAATGTTTTAAAAATCTGTGGGGTAATAGTAACAAGATGTGTTTGTGTTGATCACAAGGGCTTAACCCTTGAACTCCCAGATCAAATTTGTCATTCTTCTTACTGTCGATCATACAATTCTTATAATGTTAGTTCGGAGAATTTAGTATTGGATCAACTAATCATCCCCAAATTGATATTTTTCTTTATTCCCATTACTAATCTGGTTGATATTGTATTGATATTGTGAGGAGAAATTCTGTCTCGGGTACTCATGGGAGTTTAAGGGTTAATGATAGTAATTTCTTGTTTTCAGCATGGGTGGGGCCATTGCTGTTCATGTTGGAGTTCAAAAACTGTTGAGTACCTCTTTAGCTGGACTAGCTGTTATTGATGTAGTGGAAGGTGAGTGAGAGAGACTAATAAAAAAGTACATGGAGTGCATTTAAAATGAATGTAGTAATTAAAAGTAACACCAGAGTGATCACAATTGCTGATCAGATTGAAGGAAAATATCAGAAGTAGCCAATGACAACCAGAGCTAAAACAGGAAAACTACCTCACAATGGCAAAATGTAATATACATCTGTTTGGTCTAGTGGATGACATGAGTTTTCTAGACCAAATAAAGACTGTGGTGAAAGAAGACCAATTTAATCTTAGTATAATTTCCAATTTATATCTGCTTACACCAGTTTGGTATGAACAAGTGGGGTGCAAGAAGTCACTAGTCAGTTGTGTTACGATGAAGTAAGGTTAACAATTTTCAATGAGAGCTAAATACTTTCAGCAAGAAACTGTATCCAGGCAGTAACTTAATAGGCATATGGGTATTATTTAGAAAAAGCTCTGGATTTATGGAGAAATTTGTTTGTTTATATACATATAGGGACGGCGATGGAAGCATTGTCTGCTATGCAGTCTTTTTTGAGAAGCAGACCATCTTCGTTTCACTCACTGGAAGAAGGAATAGAATGGAGGTATTCTGAAATGGGATGAAGGACCAGTCTAAAACAAGATTTCCTTCATTTTCCTTCAGTTTTCATAATCCAAATGACAGAGGCCAATCTGCCATTTTTGATATCTTAAAATTCTAACATGACTCAGAGGCTAGGGAGAATAAAACAGAATAAATTTATTTATCATCCCTCAACCTCAATGTGATTTCTTTTGTTTTATTCTTCCAGGGCTAAATTTGAAGCAAAAATTACTTGAGTTTACATTTTCAAGGGGTATAGCCAATGGTGACCAAATGTTATATGATGTGACCTTTCTTCATGTTTTTACAATTGCAGTATACGAAGTGGCCAGGTCCACAATGTGGAATCAGCGCGTATATCCATGGCTGGACAGTTAGTCAGGTGAATTTAATATCTTCTCATCTGAGTCAGTGGTGGAAAGCTTTTGACAAAGACATTAATGCTTGTAATCTCTGTTGTTTTGGTTGATTAAGTCTGTAGTTATATTTACATTCAAGTACGATTAAAATTGTGTTTAAAACCAACAGATGTAGTGGTGACAGTGAAGATAAAGTAAATAGTGAGTGTCCAACTTCTCCCCCACTGTCACATGCCTGTGATACAATTAGTGAAGAATCTGAAGAAACAGTCAATACAAAGGCTTCGACTGTGGTGCATGCAGGGAATAGTCAGGTGGATACAGGGCAGAAGGTAAGCAGCAGCAGTGCCCTGTTTCTATTGAAGTTATCTTTAATTCTAAATTTTCTGGCCATCCAATTACAACTTTCTTGTTCCCTTTTACCTCTCTCCAGTTCCCTCTTACCCCTTCCCCCTTCCCTCTTACCCCTTCTCCCTTCCCTCTTACCCCTTTCCCATTCCTTTTTACCCCTCCCCTGTTCCCTTTTACCCCTCCCCTGTTTCGTTTTAACCCTTCCCTTGTTCCCTTTTACCCCTCCCTCGTTCCCTTTTACCCCTCCCCCTTCCCTCTCATCCCTTCCCTATTCCCCTTTTACCACTCCCCCTTCCCTCTTACCTCTTCCTCGTTCCCCTTCACCCCATCTCCCTTCCCACTTACCCCTCCCCAGTTCCCCTTAATCCCTTCCCCCTTCCCCTTTACCCCTCCTCCTTCCCTCTCATCCCTCCCCTATTCCCCTTTTACCACTCCCCCTTCTCTCTTACCCCTCCCTCGTTCCCTTTTTCCCCTACTTTCTTCCTTTTTACCTCTTCTTATTAGATTTAGGGGTGTTACGTATGCTGTTAACAAATATCTTATTTCAGTGTGCTAGCTCTTATAATCACCCACAGGCCTATTTGCATTCAAATATCCCGACCCTCATACCCCCCAAAAGTATTCTTTTATAAATATTCACGCTTACAATTTGTAAGCTCTTAATCTTTTTATTTCTTGTCACCTTATCTATATCACATTCACCAGTTAATCAGACAGAAAAATGATTCAAATACTGTAAAAAGAGGATAAATCGAGTTACAGAATTGTTGGTTAAAAAAATGTCTGACTGGAGAAAACTATCTAAAAAGCATCGCATCTTGCTACACATTGGGCAGAACCAACGGAGCTACGAGGAGAACTGCTTTGCGTCTGTAAATGTTGTAAGCACTTTTAAGCTGCCGTTAGTGAGACGTTTTATAGAAATGATAGACTACAGCAGTCCCTGCTTCTCGGCGAAGTCTGTAGCGTGAGTCAAAATGATCAGCGCCCACCATACTTCCACGCAAGGCACTAACTTCAAATCTTTTTCCATTGTTTGGGTATTTGTCGTTTAGAGGGCTGATGAGAGATTTACTTGGAGGATTGACTTGTCTAAGACTGATCAGTTTTGGGAAGGTGAGTCTAAGATTACTCAGACGTGCACTTCTCGCCATGTGAACACTGATGGAGATGTGACGTGTACTTTGATAGGGCTACAAAATCCTGCGAGTGTGCATCTCCTTAGAAACCGTTGTCATTCATGGTAACTTTTTTACACGCTTCTATAGCCCTGGAATTGTGGATTTTAAAAGTTGGGATCATGTCTCTTTTCCCCTTGTTCTACATCTCTGAAGGAATGAAGTCTCTAACAAATAACAAGAGTCTCCACCCTTGTGGGTGAACTGAGGAACTAAGTATGCCCCCCCCCTCCCGTTTCGTGAGTAAAGCAGGTGTATATATTTCCCTTTTGTCTATCAGTTTTATTTGTTTTTATTTTCTATCTTTTTAATTTTGAAGGCTGGTTTAAAGGCATGTCCAATTTGTTCTTATCGTGTCCTGTTCCAAAGCTTCTCATCTTGGCAGGTAATCAAATGTAATTTTCTGGATTTCAATTTTTTTGAGCCTGTTTGTTTGTTTGTTTATTTTATTTTGATATTGAAGGTGAGGATGATGATAATGATAGTGATGATGATGAGGCTTTCATTGTTTTTGTTGTTCTGGTTGAATGTTAGATGATTTACGTGACTAAAAAGCTCCATGCCTTTGAGGAATATAGTCGCGGACAATTTAATTTTTTAACCATTTCCCTTGCGCTCTTCAGAAACTATATCTTTGATCTGCGCAAGTAGTTTTGACACTTAACACTATAAAGATCGAATTTTCGACACAGGTGTGGATCGTCTTGACAAAGATCTGACGATTGGTCAAATGCAAGGTATGATGTCTCAGATTAGTTGAGACCTAGTTTATGTGATATAATATTTTCTTGTTTGAATGACAATTTTTTCTAAGGATGGAAACTCTGAAATATTCGTTTGAAGGTAAATTTCAGATGCAAGTATTACCACGCTGCGGTCATTGCGTTCACGAGGATGCCCCGGACAAAGTAAGTGAAGTAAAGAATCCATCCTCAGCTTAGAACGATAAATGTAAAAAAGAGTAATAATTGAATTATAATAACAATAATGATAAATACAAAAATAATACTGAATGATAATGATAACAATGGTAGTAAAAAATAAAAAAAATTCTAATGAGCTTACCAGGGTTTTCCATGCCTTGTTGTGAACAGCTGCATCATCTCCTCAGAGCAATTTGAAATTTCTCACATTTAGTAACAATCAAACCTCACTTTTTCCTGACGTATTTTTGTGGTATGAGTGGAATAAAGTTGGGAAATTGCGAATGTTCTGAAATTTTCAATTCTAAAAAACGTGAAAAACAGGATTCGCGGTAAAGAGACCGATTCTGAAAAAAATTACAGTACCATCATAAGTATCCCTTAGCCCAAAGTTACATCTTATTTACACCTGCTACTTGTGGTGACTATTGCCGTGTTCCGACTGTGGTTTGTCCTTTATGTGTGCAGGTTGCAGAAGTCTTAGTGACATTTCTAATGCGGCTGAAACTCGCTGTGACAAAGGAGAACTTTCTCAGGTAGGCATTGATATAGAACTGACTCCCGCACTTGTTTTTTGTCATATTCGTCGCGCACTCTGTCTTTATTGGGCGATTTATTCGGAACCTTTTATTGTTTTATGAACTAAAGGATTCCCAATCCATCACCGAAACAAAGATGTCTTATATTTGTGACAACCGTAAGTGTCGCAGTATCTTTGCATGGATCCAAATTTTAGAATCCCACTTCACGTTTGGATGATCTACCATGTGAGCATATAGGGTTTTGTTGTGGCAAGCATCCTACTAGGATCACAAATGTCGATAGCTTTCTACACAGAAATAACACTTAACTTCTTTTGAGTTTGTATTTTCTGGTCGTGATTGGGTTGTTGTTTCAGTGACCTTATGAAAAGGTGGGAACAATTTTTCTCATGCTGTTTTTTTCCTCTTTCTTAAACAATCAAAGTTTTGTGTGTCACTTTCGGTGTAAACTTAAAATTGTAGAAAGTAAAGAAATTTAATGCTCAAGTTTTCAAGTTAGTTTTGCACACTTCTTTGACGTCAAGGCGAACACAAATTTTAACCGAGGAGAATGAATCGATTCAAACACAAAGAATTTCTGATATGATATCTTGTTACCTTTTCCTTCTGCAGACCTATGCCGGCGTGCTAGTCGTGGATCGTATTTCTTCTTTTTGTCAAACCAGTACGAGCAGGAGAGAGTTTTGCCAAGTTCATTTAATCTCTGTTAATAAGCCTTTACACGTTAGGTTCTCTTTCTGTACAGATTAAAAGACCAGCAAACGCCAATCGAGTGGGTATCTAGTCTTTGTATGGCAGCTATCGAAACCAACTCTTCCCATTTTGTATACTATTCCCACTTAGCTATCGGAGCTTAGCATTACGTTACGAGGTGTATTGTCACTCCTCCTCTTATGAGATGAAAATATGCAATCCCCTTCTTTCATAGTTAGCATTCATTCAGTTTACACGACATTTTCTTGATGCATACAGCGGGTAAGAGAGTGGCACTTTTATACAATCCTTCTTGTCCAAGATCGCTGCATAATAACCCGTGCGAGGTTTGAAACAGACTATTTTGACGCTAAAATACAAAAAAGTCTTGTAAAGCTTTTTTTCCCCTCTTTTTCCGCTAAAACGTCCGCTAGTCGGAAGTGAAAGTTTGCACCAGTCAGGGCAAAGTAGGTCCGCAACGCGTGCGGATCCTAAAATTTGGGGAGCAATGTGGCATTAGATCTAATCGGAACGATGAAAAAATTGATTCATTAACAAGATAAACAAACTCACAATACATGGTATCATATCTGGATATCATCTTAAGATTTTTTTTCTAAAAAAAAAAAAAAACAGAACATTTATTTCGTCATGTTCCTTCACATATAATCCTCTCCCACAAGCCAAGTTCCGTCTTAATAGCCCAACCCCCATACCCCTTAATTGTATTCTGTTATAATTATACACGCCTTTATTTCATTATTATCATTATCATTATTTAAGTACAAATTACAGACATAGCTAAAATTACTACACAGAAACGAGGATTGGCGCAATTGCTGTTGTAAGCATTTTCACCAAAATTAACATTACAACTGTTCTAAAAAATATTAATTATATTAACAATAATAAGACTTTTAAATTACTGCACAGCCTCACTATTATAATGAAGTTAAATACAGTTACTATTGGGAAAACTAATACAATCATTGTAATTATTACTAATGCAAAAAAAAAGAATTCAAATTCAACGGAGCTGCAAAGAAAACTACAGTGAGTTCAGTAATTTAAAACTTACAAGAGCTCTAAGCAGCTATGATTAGTGACACGTTTCCTGAAAAAAGACAAAACCAGCAAAAGTAAGGAGACTCTGTACGCAACAATATAAACAAATTAATGTGTCAGTCACTCTTCTCGAAAAGTTAAACTGGATAAGAAAATCCTTTAAACATTTGCACTCACGAAAATTCTCAGCAGTATTCAGAAATTTTCAAGCAGAAAGGTGATTAGAAAAGGGAGTAATATTTCTGAATTTAGCTGTACAAAGCAGCAAATTGCAACTCCATCTTAATTATCCAGATAACGCACACCTTTGGAGATTACCAAGGTTAGGTAATGCTGCTCGAAAACGTTTGCAAAGTTCATTGAATTTCTTTGCGTGGAAACTGAATTTAGTTCTTCACTTCATATTCACAATTAAAATATTAAAACACTTTTAGCATGGAATCGTCGGTCATGCGTGCGAAATTGTCCTGTACGAGTGTGGTCGAATTTTGTCACCAGCAGTCTACGTGTAAGTTGGCAAACAGGGCCATTTAATCAAGAAGTTCCTGAAAACTGTTCCTTATTTAGGCGCTGAAACAGAAACTTATTCCGACAAGTGTGCGTTAAAAATAAATGATTCCATAGGTTTCATTTCTCAAAAAAAAAAAAAAAAAAAAAAAAAAAGAGTAATCACTCCACTCCTAGAAACAGAATAAAAAACACATTGAAACACATCAAACTAAGGCTACTCTTGCAAATCTGAATAGGGTGGAGAGGATGAGGGCTCATTAGGTGACTCATCCCTCCCCTAGGTCTCGTTTTATACATGATTAGCGATGTGACGTGTCAACCGCACCCAGCTCTCAACTTATTCAGTTAGACATGGATGTTCAACAGCTCTTTACAAGTCTCAAGAAGGAAGCCGAGTGTCCACTGTGTCTAGAAACAGTCAAAGATCCCAAGACATTGCCATGTCTACACTCGTTCTGCCTGTGGTGTATCGACAAACACGCATGATATGCAAAAAGAAAGTTAGAAGCGACGATCAAATGTCCAGTTTGTCAGGCTTGCTTTCAGATCCCTGAGGGAGACACGTTTAGCGGCCTTCCCACATCTTTTCATCTCAACCGATTGGTGGATCTTCTCGCTCTAAGAGATGACAGCGAAGAGGCTCAGAGATGCAGCAGTTGTGAAGAAAACAACACGGCCACTTGCTACTGCTTTGTTTGCCAGAACTTTCTTTGCAAGGATTGTTTTGATGCCCATCAACGCCTGAAGGCCACAAGAGGTCATCGCAATGTTTTGATCGAAAACTTGCAAGCGCAAGATGTGGAGGACTTGATGCACAGACCCGCCATGTGTACAAAGAAATATCACGAGAATGAACCGCTTGATTATTATTGTCAAGACTGTAGCATTTGTATTTGCCACAAGTGCAGTATAGTAAGTCATAATCGACATTATTTAGTAGACTTACAGGAGGCTGCCGAAGAACAAAAGATGCAAATGACGCAAGTCTTTGCCAGAGTTAAGGAAAAACTTGTTATCGTGGAGTCAAAGATATCGGAGCAAACTGAACTTATGAAAAAAAGCGAAGATGAAATCTGCGCCGCTGAAAGGAAGGTTACGAAAACTGTGCAAGAAATTATTCGAATTGAGAAGGAACATGAAACGGCTTTAAAAACTAAGCTGGCAGAAATTAAAATCAAGCAACAAAGGAATTACGCAGCAGAAATAGGAAATGTTCAGTTACTCGCGGCTCAGCTAAAGAGTTCTGTCGAATATGGTGAAAATATCGTACAACGAAGCATCGGTCCTGAAATTCTGCAAGCAGGACATGCTGTGCTTGGTCGGTGCGAGGAACTTTTAACCACACAAGATATTGAAGTATGTACACCTCAACATGTAGTCTATTGTGTAAATGTGGAAGCTATAAATAATCTTAGGGGCTTGGTTCCGGGTCAAGTATTCGAGACGAACACGGATCCTTCACAATCATCGGCAAAAGGAAGAGGTTTAACCAAGGCAGAAGCAGGCACTGAAACTAGCTTTAAAGTAACAACGCGTGATTCAAAGGGAAGTCAACGGCTAAGTAACCCTCGTTTTACCCCACTCCTCCCCCTCAAGCAGACTTCCTGTTTAACTCTGAATTCTCATTGTCTAGATCTCCTTGTGATATTTACATTAGTTATACCGTGGTGATAAATTAACTTAACAACAATTAAATTAACAACAATCAATCAAACTGTACTCTGACACTAGATACTCATTACCGGTGTGGATATTTGTCGTCTAGAGGGCTGATGAGAGACTCACACGGGGGATGATGATGATATGATACAAAGAAACTGCAAATGAAAACAGAAAAACGCCGATAAAAATAGAAAACGCCAATAAAAATTAAAAACGCCAAGAAAAATAGAAAACGCAAATGATGCATGTCCGTCGTCCGGTGCTCTAGAGTTGCTAAACTCATGACGATGTCATGTAAATTGCTTAATTAACAAGGCGAGAATGAATTGGTTTTCATATCCAAGTTGAAAATAATGCTCTATGCATCGTCTTAACTCCTTTCCATCTATGCAACATCAGATCAGAAACTTGACACACTGGATTGAAACTGCAGACTAGGAACCAGCCCTTCGTTTTTTTTACTTTATTTTTTTATGGGGGGGAGGGGGGGTGTTCCGTTTTAATTTGTTTTCTTTTTTATTTGCGTTCTCTAATTTCGCGGCACGAAGCTCCAAATTGCAATGCCGTCCTAATTATCGAGATAACGCATACCTTCTCGAGATTACCGAGGTTAGGTGATGCCACTCGAAAACTTTTGCAAAGTTCACTGAATTTCTTTGCGTGGAAATTAACTTCAGTTGTTCATTTTATCTTCACAATTAAAATTAAAAAACACTACGAACCATAGGTTCCATTTGTCCCGTCTGACTCTTATTTAAAAAGGAAAATAATAATAATAATAATAATAATAATCTTTATTTCTTAAGATAAAATCACATATCCTAAGTTACAATATAAACTAAAAAAGAAAACTATTTACATATCATATCGAAAAATTATTCTGTTACTAAAAACGTTCTTAAACCTGCCAGTGTAGATTCTAGGGACAGAGACTGACGTATTTCTAAGATTGTACCTCATGTTCTTTTCCTTAGGTAAAAACTGGAAGAACGGGCATTCCGGGTCATTCGATCTTTTTTTGTAGAGGGTCTTGTCCGCCTTCTCAAACAAATCCCTGATATTTACATTCTTGGACATAACCTTTTTTTTCATACACCGGTCTAAAAAATTCTGTATTAATCTAAGGCACCATAGATCGGCAGAGCGTAAGAAAAATTTGGTAAAACTATTGCGTTAAAAAGGTGATCTACTTCCTCCTGGGGCATTCCTTCCTTACGTTAAGATCCTAATACGAATAATGACTTGTTCGCCTTAATTACCTTCGCGCGCACGTGACTACTGTATTTACAATTTTGTTGGAAGGTAACACCTAATATGGACAACTCTGCGCACTGCAGTATATTACTAACTGGCGCAATGTCCTGACTGAAACCTTTCTTACGGAAAATAATCTCCTTGCATTTTGTTGGATTGCATGTCATGCGATTGCGGCTGGACCAGCTAAGAAACTGATCCACCAAGTCAGTGCGACACTGGCCGTTTCCCCAAAAAGGGACGATAATTGTAGAATCATCAGCATATTTAAACAAGGCTGGGCGACCTTCTAGATTGATCTCCAAGTCATTAATAAACACGTTAAAAAGATATGGCCCACTGACACTACCTTGTGTCGATCAGGTGTTATGTGGTAGTACTGATTTCTCTACCATTGGAGTTATCAGATTGATGTTCTTCAGTTAAAATGGGATAATCTGGAATAACTGACTGCAAACATGTCTCACTAGCAGGTGACCTGTGTATATTAAAAGGGTCTTCTACTTCTTAATTTGAAGTTCTGTTCTATTATAAGGAGCATCTACAGAGCTGTTCAATTTTGAATTCTCAAGAAAATAGGCATCACAAGGTTGTCCCATAATAACTAGATTTTCAAATGTACTCTCTAAATGATTATTAACAGTAATTGTTAGTAAGTTGGTGTCATCATTATTAGCCTGTGTCATATTTGTCAGTTCTACACCAATGTTTGAACAATCAGTTTGAATATCTTTGTATAAAGGATTACTGGCTTTTAACCAGTTGAGTGCTGACATTATGAACTCTGGTCTAACAGCTTCAAAATAAACATGTACTCCTCTGAAATGAAGTTTTCTTTTTAACTTAATGACAATTATACCGGACATTTCTGAAGGACAAGGCAAGATGTTGCATTTTTGATTAAAATTTACTGGCACATTACATATAGAACCTTTAATTTTCCTCTGTTATCCTTTTGGCTTAACAATTGTTTTCCAAATACAATGCACTGAGCTATTATTTGTTCTAGTTTGTTGGGATGTTATCTACAAATAAGTTGTTTACTCTTGCTTGACATGGAAGACTACCTTGATTGACTTTAGCGTGACAAGTCTTACAGATACCCTCTTTTCCATCAAATGACAATAGTATATTGAAAATGAGAAGGGTAACTAGTTGTATTGAGTTTTAAGACAGATTTTTTATACATTGTTCTGTTACATATACAACAAATACAATATGGGCCTTCCTTGATTTTTCTCTTCTTAAACTCTTCAATACACAAATCTACAGTTTCATTCTTACAAATACAATATTTTTGTTGTGTCTCTCAAGTACTTCTTGTTTTGTAGCAGCATCCATTGTTTTGCATTCTTGTGCTTTTTTGTTTAACAACTCTTGATTCTATCAGAATCCATAGTTTTATATTGTTGTGCCATTATCTTTAGCAGGTCTTGTTATTTTGGGACAGTTTTTTCTGCAATTCCTGTCTATTTTTCATATCTCAAACTTGTTTTTTCTCCAAAATCTTTTTTCTTTGGTGGCTGCACTGCTTTATGGTATTGCCCTTGCGAACTGAATTCCCAGTTTTCTGGGAATTCCTAGGAATTCTCAAAATAACTTAAAGATCATGAAATTTGCTATTCAAACTAAGTTTTAGTAAATCTCTACATTAATATGGATTTTCTCGTGAATCAGCAGTCAATTATGTTAAATGGAAATTGCCAATTAATCCAATGTACTCATATCACAGATTTGCTTTCTAACCTCAAAGGACTCTTGGATTCCATGATCATAAAATGTTTTTATTGTGATGCAAATTAATGTCTCATGTTCACTGATGTGCCAAAATCATCAAACATTCATTAGCTGTTCCTTGGTACAGAACTTCCACAATAATTACATTGACATGAATGAAAGTGATCCTCGCAGTAATGTGCACTTTAATAATTACATTGTTATCTACACTTGCAGAACTTTGTTCGTTATGAACATAAGTTACTTCCCTAACCTACATTACTGGTTGCCTTTGTTAGAAAACCTTGGAACGGTCAAGCTCAGTTGCCTCAAACACAGTCAGAGACTTTTTGTTGACATTATTTTTAGTAGAAATTTCATGCCTTAGACAAACAAATTCAACACCTAATTAATCTTTCCTTTTTTCATGATTGTTGTTGCTGTATTTTTTTTCTTCAGTTTTTTGCTCTGTTTTCGTGACTAATTGCTGTAATTTGTTTTGCTGTTTTTATTCTTACAAAACATTTTTGTCAGAGTTCCAATACTTGTGGATCATCCACACACTTTGCAAACATTTGGCATGCAGACAAGACAGAGGTAGTCAATGTTCCCTTTGAGAAAGAACACCTTTTAAATGACGTCTTCAATTTACTTTAAACTCTGATCTGAAAATATTTGTCAACAAGACTTGTTAGTAGTGAGAAGAACAAACCAAGTTTCCTTTCATAACTTAATTTCTTAAATGTCCCAATCACTGGATCTCCCAAAAAATATCACATCTTTTTATTTTTGGTGCAAAATACAAGTTCTTCTTTATATAAAAATGAAAAGCGCAAGTCACACTTCAATAACAACAGCTCTAAAGTTTACTTGATGTTCTTCTCTGTCTGTCAGCTATCAACAAAATTGTTTTATACTTCGGACAGTGCATAACTATTTGTGGACCAGAGTTCAAACGCACCTCTGTAATCGCATATAGTTACTTCTGTCTCTTGTACAAATGTTTCTCCTTTGTAAGACGCACTCTACTCTGTTGTCACCACTGCTTTAAGTTCAGTGGAAAAGACTGACTGAGGAATCGAGATGGCGGTGTTGGAACGTGTTGCTGAACGCTTGCTACGGTCAAGCTTTGTAGATTTAGGTACTGGTACACTGGGATCATCTATGTGTCTCTTATACTTCCTAATGTGGTATCCTTCTTTTATAAATATGAGGGTAAAAGACGATTTGTAGTTGCATTCAAAACTGTGATTGGCTTGTGTTATTTCTCACCTTTGCCATGAACACAACTCAAGTGAGCTTCGAGTCTTTGTTCCCTCTACAAATTTCGGCCACAAATCGCGTATTTCTAGTACGATCGATTCTTGTCGATTATTTCTACATAGAGTGAGCTCACATCATTATTCATTCACATCACCAAGGTATCCGTCGTCTAGAAGCAGAGGACTAGTCGGAGAAGTCAGAATAAAGGTGTGCGCTTCTGTTAAGACTGCAATTGGCAAGCCAGCGGATTCACTTTGCTAGCCAATGACAACTCCTAAAAGATCCACGTGATCATGCCCGTGATCGGAAACAAACAAGACTCCATTTAGCACTTATCTTTGATTGTACTTTTCATCGGTTGATTGCTCGTGCGTTAAGTTGTTTCTTTTCTCAACTGTTTTGCTCAATATAACATTTCTAAAGATAGCTTTTATTGTGGTTCAATGGGAAAATGAGAACAGCGTGAGTGTTGTAAAAGAAAAGAAAGTCGTTGGCGCCGTGGAGTTAAAAGAAGGGACAACAGTTGACATATTGACTGGTACAAACAAGGGTCGAGTGGCCATCTGTAAAGCTACGATTTTGAAAGTTTGTGGTGAGTAAAAATTGCGATATTCGTTACGTGATCAAAATCTTATAAAATAATAAATGTAACGGGTTGAATTAAGCGTACATAAGTCGCTCGGCGCAACTGAAACTAGAATAATTCTGAGAATCGAATCGGTCACTTGCATGCCGCAGTTTCTTAAGCCTATGCTTTACAATGAAATAAATCTATCAGTAAGGTTTCAAGATTCCTTTAGTCACGTTTGGGAACATTCAAGATTCATAATAGGAACTGTTATTAAACAAACCTTATCACATAAAGAAGCCCTCCTTGGTAAAAACAAAATAATGTATTCAGCCCTCTTTTAGTAAAATCTATGGGAGAGATGTACTAACTCCAATATAAAAGTCACTCAATATAACAGAGATTTCTCAATTTGAGAATCCAATGAATGCCCTTTTCCTTATAGCCATCTTAAAGGCCTGGTCTGAGCTTAATATATATATTTACATATATTTATATATATTTATATATATTTATATATATTTAATATATATATATTTACATATAGTATATTTTTTTCAAATTTAGATGTCATGTCATCCAGATACAAAATGGTCAAGCTTCTTGTAGACAACCTCATTTAAGGCCAACTCATTGTGAGCCCAGGAAAAAAATACAAACAGCAGCTAAGTTTGCAGTTTAGGATAACTTCATTCTAATTTATTGTTACAGTTACAACAAGATTTTAATCAAAAAATCAATTTTATTTGTCTGTAATTAACCCCTTCACTCCCAAGAGTGCTTGGTTTTCAAATATAATTTAAGATATTGTATTTTATGGAAAAGAATCAACAGATTTTATTCACAATTTGTGTCAAACCAAATTTAATGATTGATTAGGACTATTTTATATGAATAGCTGTAATTGAGGATTAATCCGTATGAAGTTTTCAAGAAAAGAAAAATAAATCAAATTCCATCCTAATATTACCACACATTGATGTTAATAATTAATCAAAAATATTTTACATGTAAGCCTTAATTAAGCTTTTAAATAAATTTCATTGAGTACTTGAATTTTAGCTGGGTTTTTTTTATTTAAAGTATTTATTTGATATCATTAGCCTCTAAAATTCCCAGTAATTCTTAAACATTCCTAAAAATTCCCAAAAATTCCCAGAAATTCCTAGGAGTTTTTTAGATTTACAGCTTTTCAGGGGAAGTCATTAGTTCTCTGAGTTGGAATTCCTAGGAATTCCTAGGAATTCCAAGTCCTGTTGGCTATAAACTTGGAATTTCTAGGTTTTTAGAACCAGAGTTGTTATGGTTGGGAATTCCTAGGAATTCATAGGAATTCCCAGTCCAAATTTACCGTGAAAATTCACACCTTTATTCCTAGGAAAATCCTAGGAATTCTTAGGAATTCCAAAAGCCATTTCGCAAGGGTGTTTTTGTCTATGGTTATTCATTATTTTTTTCCCTTTCCTTTCTGTCAACCACTTTCCATGAACATATATCAAATTGAGAATCATATTTCTCTTGTATTTTTCTAATGGTATCAACAAGTGTAGCCATTCCATTTGATGAGTAGCACAGTCACATAGCCATTTGCTGTAACATAGTTCAAAAATAACTATTTTTTTATTTTTTCACTTTTTATCACTTTTTGACTTTAATTTTGATCAAAATGTACATTGTAATCAATATCTGTAAATATTTTTATTATTTTGCATTAATAACACTAATTTTGGTATTACCCACAATCCCTTGTGGGAGTGGCACATTTTTGGTTTTTCATAAAATCTTAAGAAAATCAATGTAAAAATGGAAAAAAAGAGGTTTTGTAATTATTAGTTCACATTGAAGCAATGATTTCCTCATTTTCTTTTAAAGGGAGTTTGTAAATAGACTTTCGTTCTCTCTTTCTGACTGGTAGGTCACCGCAAATGTGACGGACAGTAGCAGCATGTACAAACGCTTTCCGTTTTTCGTCAATTGTGAAGGTCATGTCATGAATGTTCTCCCTTATGTAAAAGTGCCCCTTAAGAACTCTGTCTCCTCTGTAATAATGACACTGATAGTCATCTGTGATATTACTGTCAAGTTCTTCAACTCCATCAGAAGTGACCTGAAGGAGATAGAAGTCGTAGACAGGATCATCTTCAGCGGCTATCGCAACTGTACTTCCCTTGCTGGCCAGGTCAGCTATGTAGGAAGCAGTATCATGGTCTAAAATTGGTGCTTCAGTTTTGGTGGTGTTTTTCGCCATATTCCTTCGTCACTTTCCTTCGTTACGGTTCATGAACACGGAAACAATGGCGGAAATTGTTTCTGCGTCGACCAAACGTAAATTTCTAGCGTTAGATCTAACGAAATGGGTTGAAACGTTCTGTAAATTTAGCTTAATACAAGCCCATTCCAGGAGAGGTGAGCTTGTTTACTCAACTTAACAAGAATCGCGTCTGACAACGGATCTACTGGTGGATATGTGATGGAATTAAGCTCAATATGGCCGTTACGAAATGTGTTTCTGCGCGTTTTATTTTGATCTGGAAAACATTCTACTTGACGATTCAACTTCAGCGTTGGTTTGTAAATATTATGATGTATGCCCATTACATTTTTGTTATTAGTTTGTTGCTTACACAGTTGAAATTATCATTATTGCTAGTTTTGCACACTATGGTTGTTTTAATAGTTGCGAGCGTTACATTGTTCAGTGATAAAAACAGACGTTTATAACTTGCATTAGAATAAACCATTCTTGTTGCAAATCATACTGCTTGTTGCTTTTGTCATAAACTACTAACGGCCAAAAAATAGTGGCCCCATGTGCGTTCTATATTGAGATATTTCATTTTTTTCTTCCGTCTGATACATTTCATGTTACGCGTTACACCCAGAAATTCACGCATTTTCAGGAAAAATTTATTTTTTACAATTTTCACTTTGTCGCAAACCTTGTTTTCTTTACACCAAAATGAAGTAGGATAACTAAGCTTATATTGTGGAAAGTGTGAGATTTAGAGGTTAAACCTTCCCGAAGATATTCGTTAGCAAAGGCACTTGAGTCCAAAATGGCGGCGTGACTGTGCTACTCATCTTTCTGTTTCTAGTGTATTGAATAGGGGACATGTCTCTTTCATTATAAAGCATGAGGGAATGCATATATTTCAATCCTTTATTTTTGTGGGTTTAAAGGTACAACTGATGCAATAAGAGAAAAACAATATCAAAAACTCTGTGCATTCAATGTTATTCATTGTATCATTCTCAAGAATTGACTTACTTTGAAGTGAATCAGTTAATAGTCCTTCAGTTTAAAACAAATCATCTAAATTTACTACAGTTCCACAAACATCTACAGTTCTTGGAAAGATTAGCTGTGTTCTAACCTTGATTTATAACACATTTTTTTTTTGCCACTGTCACCAATGGTGGGTAAGGATGAGTTGTAATTCCAGTATTTACATGGTTTCACCATAGAGTAGTAAAGAGAGTATAGAGCTATAGCACAACTTAGATTGAAGTTTGTGGTTCATTCACACTGTGTTGAGAAACCATTCTATTTTGAATATTCTCAATTTGTACTCCTCACTTCAAATATATCATTGTTAAGTATACTCTGAAAAATGATGCACAAAACTATCAAGGGACAGTACTTTGAGAAGAAGACTTGTACTTTGAGGCTGCCCTCTACCATAAAAATCACAAGAATCAACTATTTTGAACCCCAAATCACTATTACAATAGGTTGTAACAGCAATACACCTCAGTGTTATTATGTAATAGGTGTTGTTTTCAGATATGTGCAACTCAAAGGCTCTTCATAAAGAGGGACAGTACTGATCTCCCTCTACTGTAGTTTCTTGGTGAACAGTACCAGAGTAGCTTTCACTGTATTCCTGTTGATAATCAGTGTCAAACACATGTAATGCTGTTGGTAATTCTGACTGCATTATAAATGCCTGTCTGGTTAATTGTGACAAACTTGAATAAAATAGATTCCTATATTTATTATTTGCGCAGGATCATTCGCAGTCAGCTGACTCCCCTATGTGATATTGTAATAAAAGCAAAGAGCACAAACTCATTGCAACACACTGTTGTCCTACATTCTGTCCTAAGACTAACTCATTATCTTGACTATAGAGAGCTGCTATTGTTTTGCTAGGGTCAACATATATTGGAGGACCAGGATTTTTTTCTATGTCTCTATCTCAGTATAGTTGCAATAATTTGCTACATGAGCCTCACTCTTGCACGTGAACATATCAGTTTGTTACAAGAAAACAATGTTAAATATCGACTGGCACGATATTTAATCTTTCTTATACTTTGACGAATTCTTTCACGACAGTTCAACTAAAACGTCGTTTTATTTAATAGTTTTTTTTTCATTTACATAACAGTACAATGTAGATGACATGGGTATATATGAAAGAATACGTGCATATACAAATTCTCTTGTTCCTACTTTTCAAACTTCGTATTGGTATTCTGCTTGGTTCACGATCACGTCTACAAACACGATGTGATTTGCGTTCATGCTTCTCTCGATTGACATTAGATGGTTCATTTAATATAGCATGTTTCTCGATGAAAGGTTCACTCGTAAAGAGATCTCTCACAAGGTTCGCGGGCCGACCCGTTCCGAAAACGCTCGAAATCCTTTAGTGTGGGTCAACCGCGAACGCTGTGTGCATATTTTGCATGCATTTTCAGCGTATTATACACAGTATCTATGCTGATTTTGCACCCCAAATGCTCCTCTTCTTTAGCCATTACACTATGCGTTCAAAAGTTCGCGCATGCGTTCAAAAGTTCGCGCATGCGTGTTAAGAATTTAATTGCTGTTTGCAGCTGAACAAAAGGAAGAACGAAGCCGGAACCCGAGTTATAACACATTGAAACTCTTCAAAGCTAGATATGGATGTGCAACAACTGTTTACAAATCTCAAGAAGGAAGCCGAGTGTCCGCTGTGTCTAGAAACAGTCAAAGATCCCAAGACTCTACCATGTCTACACTCATTCTGTCTGCAGTGTATCGACAAGCACGCAGGATATGCAAAGAGAAAGTTAGAAACGACGATCAAATGTCCAGTTTGTCAAGCTTGCTTTCAGATCCCCGAAGGAGACACGTTTGGCAGCCTTCCCACATCTTTTCATCTCAACCGATTGGTGGATCTCCTTGCTTTGAGAGATGGCAGCCAAGAGGCTCAGAGATGCAGCAGTTGTGAAGAAAACAACACGGCCACTTGCTACTGCTTTGTTTGCCAGAACTTTCTTTGCAAGGATTGTTTTGATGCTCATCAGCTCCTGAAGGCCACGAGAGGTCATCACAATGTTTTGATCGAAAACTTGCAAGCGCAAGATGTGGAGGAGTTGATGCACAGACCCGCCATGTGTACAAAGAAATATCACGAGAATGAACCGCTTGATTATTATTGTCGAGACTGTAGCGTTTGTATTTGCTACAAGTGCAGTATAGTAAGTCATAATCGACATACTTTAGTAGACTTACAGGAGGCTGCCGAAGAACAAAAGATGCAAATGACGCAAGTCTTTGCCAGAGTTAAGGAAAAACTTGTTACTGTGGAGTCAAAGATATCGGAGAAAACTGAAATGATGAAACAAAGCGAAGAAGAAATCTGCGCCGCTGAAAAGAAGGTTACGAAAACTGTGCAAGAAATAATTCGAATTGCGAAGGAACATGAAACGGCTGTAAAAACTAAGCTGGCAGAAATTAGAGTCACGCAACAAAGAATGTACGCAGAAAGTGATCAGTTACTCGCGGCTCAGCTAAAGAGTTCTGTCGAATGTGGCGAAGGTATCGTACAACGAAGCATCGGTCCTGAAATTTTGCAAGCAGGACATGCTGTACTTGGTCGATGCGAGGAACTTTTAACCACACAGGATATTGAAGTATGTACACCTCAACATGTAGTCTGTTGTGTAAATGTGGAAGCTATAAATAATCTTAGGGGCTTGGTTCCGGGTCAAGTATTCGAGACGAACACGGATCCTTCACAATCATCAGCAAAAGGAAGAGGTTTAACCAAGGTAGAAGTAGGCACTGAAACTAGCTTTAGAGTAACAACGCGAGATTCAAAGGGAAGTCAATGTTATGATGAACAAGACCAACTGACCGTAATAGTCCGCTCTCAAAAAGGAGAAGAGGAGGAAACCAAAATTAATGACTGTAAGAATGGAACCTACGTAGTGCGTTACAAGTCAAAGAGTGTTGGCTTACGTGACATTTATGTTGAGGTTAATGGCCAACCGCTGACTGGTAGTCCCTGGAGAGTTCAGGCGATTGGTCATCAATACAAAGCTATTCGTTCATTTGGATCACGTGGGACAGGACCGGGACAGTTTAAAAGACCAGGTAGTATTGCAGTGAATAAAAGAAATGGAAAGATTGCCATAGCAGATTATTTTAATCGTAGAGTTCAGTTGTTTGATCGTGAATGTAAATATCTGAGAACAATAGTAGGCAAGGGGCGTGATGCTGAGAGAATCAAGTTTCCACTTTCGGTGGAATTTACAACATCTGATGAAGTCATCATCATTCATGGAGAACTTTTTATATCGAGTAAGATGTTTTTGTTCACTGAAAAGGGCAAGTTTATTAAAGCCATCGGTCAACATTTGAGTTTTCCTCGGTCCGTATCTGTCAGAGATGATGGTCACATGATCGTGTGTGACTGGGCCGACAACTCAGTCAAAGTCCTCTCCCCTGACGGTACAGAATTAGTACAGTCCTTCAAAGGACCACACAGTTTTCGTTCCCCGACTTCTGCTGTTTATCACGAGGAAAAGTTTTTTGTCTTATATGAGACATATGGTAAAGTGTTCAACAACGAAGGACTTTATCTGTATGATATTGGCTATGAGGAACCTTGTGATGTACAAGTCATTTCTTTGGAATTCACTATTGACGCGTGTAACAACCTGATCGTGTGCGATACTAGGGATGAAAGACTTCATTTGTTTTCTTTGGACGGAAAATTTGTTTACTCGTTTAACATTGAAGAAATTAAATCTCCCTCCTCTGTCGCTGCTTTTGAAGATAATAAGTTATTGGTTTGCGATGGAAAAAAGCATGTAGTCCATGTTTTGCAGTAGAAAGTGAACATTGCTCAACAGTTATTCTGATGCGATTCTTTCAATGTGATCTTTGATTCGTTGTAAGTTATGACCCTTTTTTCACAGCCGCTGAAATATTCCTCGCGGGCTCAAAAAGAAAAAGAAAGTATGGAAATTGGACTTTGTAAATATTTTAAAGATAACTTTGTTTTAGTTTTGTTTTAGGTTATTCATCTTTTCTTTCGTCGTCTCTGCGTTTGTTTCCATTTATTAGCTGTATATGATTATCTTTCAGAGTAATAAATAAAATAGTATTTGATTTGGTGTGAAAATTAGTGTAAAAGTGTGCAATCTTGGAAGGAGGGGATATGAAATTTTTTCTTCATCGGTGTTGATAGATCTCATTCAAAAAGGCCCGCATATAGTTGGTTGCTTTTACTGGTATGCAGCACGCTCTTCAAATACTAACCCCAAGGCTGTGTCGGCTCTCCCTGTGACTAAACAGTGAGAGTACCTGCATTGTGTGTGAGTGATTACTACTGTTTTATTCAAGAATGCACAGCCTTATTTTTTAAGCTGTTCTCACGACAACTACAATCAACTTTTGTCAAAGATAATAAAAAGGAAGATTTTCAACGGGGAGTGGAAAGCATTCCTGGGTAGCCTGCAAAGAGGCCCTAATCATTTGCGTTTCGGCCCGCCCGTTTCGAATCTTCCCGCTAATAGGTGAACACATGCCTCGTAGCGCTAATAGACTGTAATGAGGAGGCTCTTCTCTCAGGCTGAATCCTGGTCGGCATTGATGTGTCTTCACTGTAAATGACCCGTTGATTTACGCCTCCCCTTCACCCCGTCAGAATAAAACTAAAACTAATCGCGGCAGCTAAGTAACCCTCGTGTTCCCCCACTCCTCCCCCTCAAGCAGACTGCCTGTTTAACTCTGAATTCTCATTGTCTAGATCTCCTTGTGATATTTACATTAGTTACACCGTGGTGATAAATTAACTTAACAACAATTAAATTAACAACAATCAATCAAACTGTACTCTGACACTAGATACTCATTGCCGGTGTGGATATTTGTCGTTTAGAGGGCTGATGAGAGACTCACACGGAGGATGATGATGATATGATACAAAGAAACTGCAAATGAAAACAGAAAAACGCCGATAAAAATAGAAAACGCCAATAAAAATTAAAAACGCCAAGATAAATAGATAACGCAAATGATGCATGTCCGTCGTCCGGTGCTCTAGAGTCGCTAAACTCATGACGATGTCATGTAAATTGCTTAATTAACAAGGCGAGAATGAATTGGTTTTCATATCCAAGTTGAAAATAATGCTCTATGCATCGTCTTAACTCCTTTCCATCCATGTAACATCAGATCAGAAACTTGACACACTGGATTGAAACTGCGGACTAGGAACCAGCCCTACGTTTTTTTACTTTATTTTTTTATGGTGGGGAGGGGGGTTCCGTTTTAATTTGTTTTCTTTTTTATTTGCGTTCTCTATTTTTTTTAATTGCGTTTTCTTTTTATTGGTTGCGTTTTCTTATTTGTGTTTGATCCCTCTAGGCCACCGTATTTTTTCACGCTTCTTTTGCTACTGAAGTTTGACTTTCAGTTTTTAATTATTTTCTTTAGTTTTTTTATCTTTTTTTAAGGCTGGTTTGAAAGGCATGTCTAAATTTTTCTTGCCGTGTCCTGTTCCAAAGTTTCTCGTCTTAGCAGGTTAACAGATAGAGTTTTTTACATTTTTGTTTTTGTCGCCTTTTTTTTTCCATTTTTTTTTTTTAATATTGAAGTTAATGATAATGAAAATGTCAGTTACTGTTGTGGTCAAATGTTTGATGCTGCAGGTGAATTACAAATTTAATCAAACAAACCAACATCAAACAAACCAACTAACCTGTTTCAAACATGTAACATTTAACCTTCATTTTGGCACATTTTGGCGAAGATTGATAGTCATATATCAATCATTCAAATGATATGACTATGTATGATATAGTTTTGACTTGTAATCATTTTACTCACAAACTGATTCTCGTGACAGGTGTTGATCGTCTCGAAAAAGATCTGACGACTGGTCAAATGCAAGGTACGTTGTCTCAAATTAAATGAGAACAAGTGTAGCCGATAAAAAGTTCACTCGTTTGAACACCAATTTTTTAACAAAAAATCTCCCTTATTCGTTAAAAGGTAAATTTCAAACGTAAGCTTTACGACGATGCGGTCATTGCGTCACCTCGAATGCCCCCAAAAAAGTAAGTAAAAAGAAAAATTCATCTGCAGCCCAGAAAATGATGACAATATTGCTAAGTGATGGGCTCCTGGTTAATTATAATAATAATATTGTGTTACCAATAATCATGATAATAATGTTAATAAAGTGACAAATCGGCTTAAACTTATCAAGGGTTTTCGTGCCCTGTTGAAAACATTAACATCTCCTTCATGCGATGAGAAATATCTGCCGTTTAGTTACAACTTAACTGTCACATTTTCCTGGTGCATTTTTGTAATATGAGGCAGTCAAGAAAATTAACGATCGTCAGGAATTTTCTATCTTGGCAAATTTGAAAATAGGTTTCGGTAATTAACGTGACCAATTCTGGTAGCATAAGCTGAATATGCGATTCTAAGTAATTCCTCCTGTGCACGAAGTTGCGTGTTGGTTACACATAGTACTGACGTAAGATGACAGTTGCATTCTTAAGATGAGTGTTAATGTTGTTCAACACAGAAATCATCCATGTTTAACGCAAACATACAGCTTATTCGATGATTTAACATATGATACGCGCGGATAATTCGCGAGATGCGGTGTACGTTTCCTACTCCGTGAAGAAGAGGAAAAATGCAAGCAATGAGCAAAATGTCGGCTCGTGTTATATATATAAAGCCATCAAACAGCAAATGTTTATTCCACCATTTTTTCGTTTCCTGATATTTTGGCTTCTAGATTCCAAAGAACCCGGGAAAGGACCAACGAGCATCCATAGAATGAAAAACCCCACCGGGCTCTTTATTTTTGCAGGTCGCAGATCAGAAGCTTCGGTTACTTTTCTAATGCGGCTTAAATTCGCTGAGAGAAAGGAGAACTTCCTAAGGTAAACATTAAATTGACATGGCACTGGCTCAGGCAATTGATTCAAGGTTTTATTTGACGCCTGCATTGTTTTGTGATATTTTGCATTATTCACAAGCGTGGTAGTAAGGATCCAACAAATAGAACACCGACTTCACGTTCGGACGATCTACCATCTTAACTCGTTGGTATGTCCTGCAGCATATAGGTTTCAGTGGGAAGGGCAAGCATCCTTCCTACTGATTGCCTCGTGGAAAATGGTTCGCCATCAACAATTGGCTGGACTATAAATCGTATAACGTCTTTACTCGATCTAATGAAAAGGAGTTACATGATATTAAACAATAATGAAAGATTCATCAAAATTGCGAAGAAGGCAACTAAAATGAAAAGACTTGAAGTTCAATTGATTAACGTCATGATCTACTTTTGTGAAGTTATCGATCCAGCCAAATTGTTTTCCGGGAAAATGAATAACAAGCGGCTCAAAAAACAGTTAAATAGTTTAAAACGGAAGAAAACGTGCTTTTAACTGAACCGAACGCGTGGTTAAACTACGCCTTAAACTGTTGATCATAAATAAAGAAAAGTGATGAGAAAAAAAAGAGTAATATTTTCCAATTTCGCGGCACGAAGCTCCAAATTGCAATGCCGTCCTAATTATCGAGATAACGCATACCTTCTCGAGATTACCGAGGTTAGGTGATGCCACTCTTTTGTAAAGTTCACTGAATTTCTTTGCGTGGAAATTAACTTCAGTTGTTCATTTTATCTTCACAATTAAAATTAAAAAACACTACGTGCATGGAATCGTTGCAAATGCGTGCGAAATCGCATGAAATCTTCTCCTTGCAGCTAAAGAATAGTGAGTAATATTTCCCAATTCAGCGGTACAAAGCACCAAATTGCAACGCACACCTTCGCGAGATTACCGAGGTTAGGTAATGCCACTCGAAAACGTTCACGGAATCATGCGTGGAAATTGAATTCAGTTGTTTCCTTTATGTTTATAATTAAAACCACAAAATACTATTCGCATGGAATCGTGGCTCATGCGTGCGAAACTGTCCTGTACAAGTGTGGTCGAATTTTTTCATCTGCAGCCGTGTGATCAGGCTGGCATAGGAGCTATGGACAGTTAGATTGGGTTTCTTCCAGTAGCTTTCATAGATGGAGCGTTTTAAGAGAGGCCGAAGACTGTTCCTCATTCACTCGGGCTTTCCGTCGGAATGTTTTTTGTTTCCGCATTTGCCTAAGTTTTTATGCAATTATTGGTTTATCCTGTAACTTTTAACTTGATTAAATTTTATTTCGTGGGTTAAGGGGTTGTAGCGGGGTGAGTCATTTGCCAAATTGGGTGTCCTGTTATGTTTCCTTTTTCTTGGTTGACAAAGGATTTCAGGCTGATGTAGCTTTTGACTATAAACAGTCCCAAGTGCTAGGGTGATGACACTTAAACCCACGCAAGAAAACCAATTACTTATTTTTCTTATCGCCAAGAGAAAACAAGAAGTCAGTACCAAAGCCTATTAGCAGATGAACTATTAATTTTATAGGGTTTTTAGAGTGGTTCTCATGAACCTATGAAATATACTTTAGCATATTTTGTACAATTACCCTCCAATTTGTTTTTTTCCATTTGGAGTTACAGGGCTAGCATACTTTAGTCAATACATTTTGGTTTATTGGTTAGAGTGATTTAATTAAACCTGATGAGAACTAATTGACTGTTAATGTTTAGAATGATTTTCATTTTTTGTGAAAGAACAGGGTAATTAATATTTAGTGGTGTACTGTGAATCTTTTGTTTTCTTTTGTTCTTCATCAACTATTACATACTAAATAGTCATTTTTTTATTTCATGGGCAAATGAAAGTCACTCTAAAACATGCAAAGAAACAAAAGGTGACAAAGCATTTAGCATCTAATCACTTTTATGTGATTCATCAGCAGTATCCAGGCTTATTGAAATCACACTAATCAAAGCCACATCTGCATTTGCCCTTGAATAAAAAATAATTGTTAAGTTTGTAGCAGTTGATGATGAACCAAAATTTCAGGGTCTACTTATTACAGTTATTGCAAATTTTCACTGGCATATGGAAATTATCTAAGTGTGTTCATTCTGTATATAAGAAGTAAGGAAAAATACAATTAAACTAGTTTTAATATTTTTTCATATGACTATATATCTACTAATTACAATGATAATAAGATAATACCATGAACTTTCTTAAGGGCAATGTTGATGTTGTCAGATACTTTTTTCTCTTTGATAATGAACTGAGCAAAGAAAAGATATTCTGGATCCGTTGCAAATCTTCCACTGTGATGTAGCAGTCTGGCATTAAAGTATCTAGTAACTGATGACAATTTGATTTGTTGTTCTATGGTATGACCAAATCTTCCTTTTGGAAATAATACTGGAAATGCAAGCTCCTCACATAGTTTCTCAGTCATTACAGACACTGGGTGTTTGTTTTCACCAGGTGCTATATGGTAGTACTGATTTCTCTACCATTGGAGTTATCAGATTGATGTTCCTCAGTTAAAATGGGATAATCTGGAATAACTGACTGCAAACATGTCTCACTAGCAGGTGACCTGTGTATATTAAAAGGGTCTTCTACTTCTTAATTTGAAGTTCTGTTCTATTATTAGGAGCATCCACAGAGCTGTTCAATTTTGAATTCTCAAGAAAATAGGCATCACAAGGTTGTCCCATAATTACTACATTTTCAAATCTACTCTCTATTTAAATGATTATTAACAGTATTTGTTGGTAAGTTGGTGTCATCATTATTAGCCTGTGTCATATTTGTCAGTTCTACACCAATGTTTGAACAATCAGTTTGTATATCTTTGTATAAAGGATTATTGGCTTTTAACCAGTTGAGTGCTGACATTATGAACTCTGGTCTAACAGCTTCAAAATAAACATGCACTCCTCTGAAATGAAGTTTTCTTTTTAACTTAATGACAATTATACCTGACATTTCTGAAGGACAAGGCAAGATGTTGCATGATTGATTACATCTTACTGGTACATTACATATAGCGCCTTTAATTTTCCTCTGTTATCCTTTTGGCTTAACAATTGTTTTCCAAATACAATGCACTGAGCTATTATTTGTTCTAGTTTGTTGGGATGTTATCTACATATAAGTTGTTTACTCTTGCTTGACATGGAAGACTGCCTTGATTGACTTTAGAGTGACAAGCCTTACAGATACGCTCTTTTCCATCAAATGACAATAGTATATTAAAAATGTCCTGAGAAGGGTAACTAGTTCTATTGAGTTTTAAGACAGATTTCTTCTAGAGTGTTCTGTTACATATACAACAAATACAATATGGGCCTTCCTTTATTTTTCAGTTAAAACTCTTCAATACACAAATCTACAGTTTCATTCTTACAAATACAGTATTTTTATTGTGTCTCTCAAGTACTTCTTGTTTAGTAGCAGCATCCATTGTTTTGCATTCTTGTGCTTTTTTGTTTAACAACTCTTGATTCTATCAGAATCCATAGTTTATATTGTTGTGCCATTTTCTTTAGAGGTCTTGTTATTTTGGGACAGTTTTTTCTGCAATTCCTGTCTTTATTTTTTGTGGGTTTAAAGGTACAACTGATGCAATAAGAGAAAAACAATATCAAAAACTCTGTGCATTCAATATTATTCATCATATCATTCTCAAGAATTGACTTACTTTGAAGTGAATCAGTTAATAGTCCTTCAGTTGAAAACAAATTATCTAAATTTACTACAGTTCCACAAACATCTACAGTTCTTGGAAAGGTTAGCTGTGTTCTAAACTTGATTGATAACACATTTTTTTGCCTCTGTCACCAATGGTGGGTTAGGATGAGTTGTAATTCCAGTAATTACATGGTTTCAGAGTAGAGTAGTATAGAGAGGATAGAGCTACAGCACAACCAAGATTGAAGTTTGTGGTTCATTCACACTGTGTTGAGAAACCATTCTATTTTGAATATTCTCAACTTGTACTCCACTCACTTCAAATATACCATTAAGCATACTCTGAAAAATAATGCACAAAACTATCAAGGGACAGTGCTTTAAGAAGAAGACTTGTACCTTGAGGCTACCCTCTACCATACAAATCTCTAGCACAAGAATCAAATATTTGAACCCAATTTTACTATTACAATAGGTTGTAACAGCAATACACCTCAGGGTTATTATGTATTGGTGTTGTTTTCAGATATGTGCAACTCAAAGGCTCTTCATAAAGAGGTACAGTACTGATCTCCCTCTATTGTAGTTTCTTGGTGAACAGTACCAGAGTAGCTTTCACTGTATTCCAGTTGATAATCAGTGTCGAACACATGTAATGCTGTTGGTAATTCTGACTGCATTAAAAATGCCTGTCTGGTTAATCGGGAGAAACTTGAATAAAATAGATTTCCTATATTTGATATTTGTGCAAGATCATTCGCAGTCAGCTGATCCCTTATATGATATAGTAATAAAAGCAAAGAGCACAAACTCATTGTAACACACTGTTGTCCTACATTCTGTCCCAAGAACATATCAGTTTGTTACAAGAAAACAATGTTAAATATCGACTGGCACGATATTTTATCTTTCTTATACTTTGACGAATTCTTTCACGAAAGTTAAACTAAAACGTCGTTTTATTTAATAGTTTTTTTGCATTTACATAACAGTACAATGTAGAGGCATGGGTATACATGAAAGAATACGCGCATATACAAATTCTCTAACCTTTCTGCTCTTGTTCCTACTTTTCAAATTTCGTATTGGTATTCTGCTTGGTTCACGATCACGTCTACATACACGATGAGATTTGCGTTTCTGCTTCTTTCGATTGACATTAGATAGCTCAGTTAATATTGCATGTTTCTTGATGAAAGTTCACTCATAAAAAGATCTCTCACAAGGTTCGCGAACCGACCCGTTCCGAAAACGCTCGAAATCTTTTAGTGTGGGTCAACCGCGAACGCTGTGTGCATATATTATACACAGTATCTGTGTTGATTTTTCACCCCGAATGCTTCTCTTCTTTCACCATTACACCATGCCATGCCATTGATCCTTATCATGCACAAAACTTCGCGCAGGCGTGTTTAAAATTTAACTGCGATTTACATCTGAACGAAGCGAAGAACGAAGCCGAAACCCGAGTAATAACACATTGAAACTCTTCAAAGGTTACACTTGGAAATCTGAATAGGGTGGAGAGGGTGAGAGCTTATTAGGTGACTGGTCCCTCCGCTAAGTCACGTTTTATGCATGATAAGCGATGTGACTTGTCAACTGCACCCAGCTCTCAACTTATTCAGCTAGATATGGACGTTCAACAGCTGTTTACAAATCTCAAGAAGGAAGCCGAGTGTCCGCTGTGTCTAGAAACAGTCAAAGATCCCAAGACACTGCCATGTCTACACCCATTCTGTCTGCAGTGTATCGACAAGCACGCAGGATATGCAAAGAGAAAGTTAGAAACGACGATCAAATGTCCAGTTTGTCAGGCTTGCTTTCAGATCCCTGAAGGAGACACGTTTGGCAGCCTTCCCACATCTTTTCATCTCAACCGACTGGTGGATCTCCTCGCTCTGAGAGATGGCAGCGAAGAGGCTCAGACATGCAACAGTTGTGAAGAAAACAACACGGCAACTTGCTATTGCTTTGTTTGCCAGAACTTTCTTTGCAAGGATTGTTTTGATGCTCATCAGCGCCTGAAGGCCACAAGAGGTCATCGCAATGTTTTTATCAAAAACTTGCAAGCGCAAGATGTGGAGGAGTTGATGCACAGACCCGCCATGTGTGCAAAGAAATATCACGAGAATGAACCGCTTGATTATTACTGTCATGACTGTAGCATTTGTATTTGCCACAAGTGCAGTATAGTAAGTCATAATCGACATTCTTTAGTAGACTTACAGGAGGCTGCCGAAGAACAAAAGATGCAAATGACGCAAGTCTTTGCCAGAGTTAAGGAACATCTTGTTATCGTGGAGTCGAAGATATCGGAGCAAACTGAACTGATGAAAAAAATCGAAGAAGAAATCTGCGCCGCTGAAGAGAGGGTTACGAAAACTGTGCAAGAAATTATTCGAATTGCGAAGGAACATGAAACGGATGTAAAAAGTAAGCTGGCAGAAATGAAAGTCACGCAACAAAAGAATTACGCGGTAGAAATAGGAAATTTTCAGTTACTCACTGCTCAGCTAAAGAGTTCTGTCGAATGTGGTAAAGATATCTTACAACGAAGCATCGGTCCTGAAATTCTGCAAGCAGGACATGCTGTGCTTGGTCGATGCGAGGAACTCTTAACCACACAGGATATTGAGGTGTGTAAACCTCAACATGTAGTCTATTGCGTAAATCTGAAAGCTATGAACACTGTTAGAGGCTTGGTTCCGGGTCAAATATTCGAGATTTACACCAATGCTTTACAATCCTCGGCAGAAGGAAGAGGTTTAATCGAGGCAGAAGCAGGCACTGAAACTAACTTTACAGTCACTACGCGAGATTCAAAGGGAACTCAGTGTTATTATGAACAAGACCAACTGACCGTAAAAATCTGCTCTCAAAGAGAAGAAGAGGAGGAAACGAAAATTGATGACTGTAAGAATGGAAGCTATGTAGTGCGTTACAAGCCAAAGAGTATTGGCTTACGTGACATCTCTGTTGAGGTGAATGGCCAACCGCTGACTGGTAGTCCTTGGAGAGTTCAGGCGACTGGTCATCAGTACAAAGCTATTTATTCAATTGGATCAAGTGGGACAGGACCGGGACAGTTTAAAGGACCAGCTAGCATTGCAGTGAATAAAAGAACAGGAAAGATTGCCATAGCAGATATTGGCAATAACAGAGTTCAGTTGTTTGATCGTGAGTGGAAATATCTGAGAACAATAGGAAACAAGGGACTTGATGCTAATGATGCGAGGAGAATCAAGTTTCCTCAATCAGTGGAATTTACAACATCTGATGAAGTCATCATCACTCATGGAGAACTTTTTAAACAGCATAAAATGTTCTTGTTCACTGAACATGGCGACTACATGAAAGTCATCCGTCAGCATTTGATTAATCCTTGTTCCGTATCTGTCAGCGATGATGGTCACATAATCGTGTGTGACTCGAGCGACAACTTAGTCAAGGTTCTCTCCCCTGACGGTACAGGATTAGTACAGTCCTTCAAAGGACCACACACTTTTGGTTCCCCAGCCTCTGCTGTTTATCATGAGGACAAGTTTTTTGTCTTATATAACTCACATAACTATGTTACAGTGTTCAACAACGAAGGACTTTATCTGTATGATATTGGCAAGGAGGAATCTGTTGTTGGATCTCTTAGAAACAGCCTTACCATTGACGCGTTTAACAACCTGATCGTGTGTGACCAAAAGAACAGCAGTCTCCATGTGTTTTCTTTAGATGGAAAACATATTAATTCGTTTAATGAAGGAATCATATCTCCCTTTTCTGTCTCTTCTTTTGAAGATAACAAGTTGTTGATTTGCGATCTTAAAAGAGACGTAATCCATGTTTTACAGTAAAAAGTGAACATCATTCAGAAGTTATTCTGATGCGATCTTTCAATGTGATCATTCGAAGAGGCCCAAATATAGTAGTCTTCTTTTCCTAGTATCCAGCAGGCTCGCCAAATACTAACCCTAAGGCTATGTAAAGCACGAGTTGTCACTGGTCTTCCTGTGACTAAACAGTTAGAGTACCTGCATTGTGTGTGAGTGATTGAAATTGTTTAATTTAATAAGTCAGAGCCTACTTTTTAGTTGCTCTCACGACAATTTGATCTAATTAACTTCTCCCTGAGAATTTTTGTCAAAAGTAATTGTAAGGAGAATTTTCAAGGGAGAATGGAAAGCATTCCTGGGTAGCCTGCGAGGAGGCCCTCGTTATTGGCATTTCTGCACGCGCGTTTGACCCGAGGCAATGTACGAGGCCTTGAGCAACGCGAGCTGGTGAGAGGTCTGGAAGGCTTCATTATTAGTGCCAGACCCCTGGAAAACCTCTCCACGACTCGTCTCGAATCTTGCCGCTAGTAGATTAGCGTACATCTTGTTTCGCCTCATGGCTTAAAGAACGACGAATGTTACATGTGTAGCGCGCTTGTTTCGCCTCATGGCTTTAAGAACGACGTATATTTCATTGTAGCGCGCTTATTTCGCCTCATGGCTTAAAAAACGACGTATATTTCATGTGTAGCGTTTGTCTCGCCTCATGGCTTAAAGAACAACGAATGTTACATGTGTAGGGCGATTATTTCGCCTCATGGCTTTAAGAGCGATGTACATTTCATTTGTGGCGCGCTTATTTCGCCTCATGGCTTAAAGAACGACGAATGTTACATGTGTAGCGGGCTTGCTTCGCGTCATGGCTTAAAGAACGACGTATATTTCATGCGTAGCGCGCTTGTTTAAACTTATGGCTGAGAGGGTTATAGCGGGTTTCGCCCATAACGAGTTTCGCACATATCGTTTCGCCCAGAACGAGAATGGTTTCGCCCAGAACGAGAATGGTTTCGCCCAGAACAATAAAGGTTTCGCCCATAAGTAAAACTTCTACACTCTCACTCGGAAAACGTCAACCTTATAAACGTTTGTATGCACAGAATGAAGAAAAGTGACTTGACCTGAGATCATGAAATTTTGAAACGAACAAGTTACTGTTGAAACGAACAAGTCAATTATAGCTTTCACTGTGGAGTGGGGATTGTTAAGGTAATTCGCGCACGAAATACTGCAGAGACGTCCGTTTGTCGTAAAAAGCATTGCTATGATTTTTTGCATCACTTTTCTTCTCGAGAATTAAATTAAACGCTTTTGAAAACACTTGCGCGTGGAACATATCATCGTTGCAAATCTTTTGTACACGGAAGATAAGTTCCGCACGCCAGCTTATGAATGAACAGAAAACAAAAGCCCGGTTACCGGGCTCATCTAAAGCATATGTCTAAAGAGGCCCTTAGCCTGGATAATCACTGACTGTCAGTCTGGGCGAATCGAATTTATGCCTGGGCGAAACCATTCTCGTTATGGGCGAAACGCTTCTTGGGCGAAACTCGTTATGGGCGAAACCCGCGGATACCGCTGAGAGGTACTTTCTCTATCTCTCGCCAACTGACCTCCGGGGCGTCCGATCGACTCTTGCCAGGACGAATTGTCTCCATCGGATCCGATCGAGTCTGTTTGCCAACATCTTCAACCTCCCTCGCTCCTGTTAACCTCTTACTTCCGGATATTAAGAATTCAGGAGAACTCCTCAAGGGAAACCACTGATCAAGCGCCTTGCGCTCATTTCCGGTTCCGGTCTTAATCAGACTCAATCCGCCTGCTGGTGAAGACAACCCGACTCAGGCCGAGTGTATTGGACATGTGTGTGTAGATGTCCCGTAAATTCACGCCTCCCTCTCAGTCAATCAGAATAAAACTAAAACTAATCGCTCGTTACGCTCGTGTTTGCTACCCTCCCCTCCCCTACCCCCTTAAGTAGATTGCTTGTTTTACTCAGAGTTATTATAGTGTAGATCCCCTTGTTTAGAAAACGCAACTAGAAATAAAGAAAGCGCATATAATAAAAAGAAAATGCAAATGAAAAACAGAAAACACGCCTAAAAAAAAGGAAAACGCAAATGATAAGAGAAACTTATGCGGGAATAAGTTTCGCGCCAATTTTCTTGTCTTTCGGTTCCCGACAGTCCGCCATGTTCTGTAGAGAGTGTGGAAAAAACACAGTTGGCTGATTTCACTAACTCTTACAATCGACATGCCGACAGTAATTCGGACCATAGCTAGCATATTTTCGCATCGTTTACCTACTACTTTGTCGTTGCTGGCTTTAGTCCTCTAAGAAGAATTGCAACCCTATTCCTGAGAAAGTATACTCGATGATTTATCCTTAAGGTGTGCCGCATTGCTTTATGTCCGTTAGGTTCCCCTGGCCCGGATATCACGCTCTGTTGTATTTCCCTTAGTTGTTAGTCGTCACCTCTGCATGGTTTCTGCTAAGACCGTAGTCACGATGTCGTCCGGCGCTCTAGAGTCGCTAGTCTCATTGTGGTGCCATGTCAACTGCTTAAGAAGGTGAAATGACCTGGTTTTCATATCCCAGAAAAAAAAAATACTCTATCCGTCGTCTTAACTCCATTCCATCTATGCAGTATCAAAAACCTGACACATTGGCTCGAAAACTGCAGACTAGGATCCAGGCCTTCGCTTTTTTCTGTTTATTTTTCGTTTTTAACTCGTGAATTGCGCACATGCGCAAGAGTGTGTTGTAGATATGATGTGGAGAATGGCGCTCGCTCGCTCGCTCGCTCGATTGGTCGATTCCTGTAAACCTTTTTTTCGATCTTAGGCTTTTGAGTGCATTTGATAGTTTTTGGCGATTAATAAACAAACGAAATGGAGACCTTTGTTGCTAAGAATAGTGGTGGGTGAAAGAGAAGCCAATGATAATCTTAAAAGAGCTAATTTTTTTCGTTTTAGTTTCAACAAGCGGCGCCAGCGACTGGCAGGCGTGCGAGTATTCACACTGAAATAAGAGAACAACCTTCGTTTGTCGTAAAATTATAATTTACAATCCTTGAACTTGAAAACAATCCGAAGATTCTTTAAAAATATCACTTACTCCGACGCGCTCGGAGTTTACAGGTATTCAAAAGCTTTTTCTGTTATGGCACGAGATTGGAGACAAATTCGATCATTACATTTCGTATCGTGTGTTTTTTCTGTGTGAAGAAACAAAAGATGCCGGCGAATGACGAAATTACAGGTTAACACGAAAATCAAATAACATCTAAACAAATGATTTTGGCTACCGATTTTCAGTGAAGTTTTCAAGAACAGTTTTCTTTTAAGTTTCAAGACAATTTGAAGATTTAAAATAAATATTACGTACTAAAATGCGAAAGTTATACACCACAAAATTTATAAATAGGCCTGAATGAAAATCTATCTTGTTCTTGATTATACGTTGCCTAGCAAGTGACCAAAATCTACCCAGGCGGAGATCCAAAATGACGGTGGCAGTCTGGGCTTAGTTATATCACTTAAAACTCGTTCCCCTTTGTCTCATTTGATAAAGAGAGAATCAATAATGTTTTAATTAAGTATTGCCTTGATTTTCCAATATTTACAATGATAGACAGTAAATTTCACTTTTCACCCACATTTACTTCCAACCTTTTCTTTTGGACCAGAAACAAAAATGACATATGTTTATAACACATGACATCATCCACCCTTGTCAAATGTCATAGCATGATCATTTCAATTGTAATGCCTTCTTATCCCAACGTTACTTTGTTTCTATGCTACATTAACGAACACTGAACTACTGCTCATACTCTAAATATGACAATTAACCACAAAATTCCCTTAACCAGATAACATTAAACATAATCCAAAAAAATCATATAAGTCATCTGTCAATTCACGAGTTTGCTCACAGAGTACTTCGATCTTTTTATTAGTTGCGCTTTTTTTCTTCAAAGCCATCGTACTTTTTAACGCTTCTTTTGCTACTGAAGTTTGGTTAGACTTAAATACTAAGAATTATGTGTCATTTTCCCGTGTTCTTCATCACAAAGGTATGGAGTCTTTAACAGATGATGAGAGTCTCCACACATATAGAACTATGGAACTAAGTCTGATCACGGAAGAAGGGATCTTGCGATAAGCAACGGACGTTTGTGCTCCCCCTACAACAAGCGAAGTGGCAGCTTAGGAACACATAGACCGCTTTTGACTTTCAGTTTTAAATAATTTCCTTTATTTTTTTTTTTTTCATTTTTCGAGGACTGGTTTAAAGGAATATCTAATTTGTTATTTTCGTGTCATGTTTTGTCGTCTTGGTAAGTGAGCTAATAGAATTTTCTGCATTTTAATTTTTGCTGCATTTTTTTTTCGTTTGTGCTCTTTGATATTTAAGTTGATGATGATGATAATGTTTTTACTGTTGTTACTTTGGTTGAATGTTTGATTTTGCAGGTGAATTACAAATTTAAACAAACAAAAAAACAAACCAAATTGTTTGAAACATGTAACATTTAATCTACACTTTTAGCACATTTTGCCGATGATTGCTTGATAGTCATGCATATTCCGAAACTATATGTTCGATATAGCTTTGACTCGTAATCATTTTACTGACGAACGGATTCGCTTCACAGATATTGATCGTCTCGACTAAGATCTGACAATTGGTCTGATACAAGGTACGTTGTCTCAAATTAGATGAGAACAAGTGTAGCTGATAAAATTTCACTCCTTTGAATATCAATTTTTTGATGGAAACTCTGGCTTATTCGTTAAAAGGTAAATTTCAGAAGTATTACAACGCTGCGGTCATTGCGTCAACGAAGATGCCTCGGACAGAGTAAATAAGTTGACATATTGATCTGCAGCCCAGAAAATGATGAGAATATTGGTAGTAATAATAACAGTTATAATATTGTGTTACTAATAATTACAATAATAATGTTAATAAAGTGACAAATCTGCTAATGCCCTGTTGAAAACATGAAAATTTCCTTCAAACGATGAGAAATATCTGCCGTTTAGTTACAATAAAACCGTCATATTTTTCCGATGCATTTTTTTAATATGAGGTAGTCAAGAAAATTAACGATCGTGAGGAGTTTTTCATCTTGATAAACTTGCAAAACAGGTTTCAGTAATTAAAATGACCATTTATGAAATTATGATAGCATAAGCTAAAAATGCGATTGTAAGTAATTCGTCCTAAGCACGAAGTTACGTGTTACTCACACATAGTGCTAATGTAATGTGACTGTCGCTGTATTAAGATGACTGTTGCTGATGTGGTCCGACTATGGTTTTTTCTATATTTTTGCAGGATACAGATCAGAAGCCATAGTTATCTTTCTAATGCGACTTGTCACTCACTGTGACAAAGGAGAACTTCCTGAGGTAGACATTAAATTGACATGGCACTGACTCTCTAACAATTAATTCAAGGTGTTATCTGATGCTCGCACTGTTTTGTGTTAGGCAATTCATTAGGGAACTTTGAATCCTTTCATGTACTAAGTAATTCCGAATTCCATACTAAAAGAAAGTTCGGACAATCTACCATCTGAGCTCGTCAGTATGTGGCAAATAGCGTTTCAGAATTCCAAGCATCCTTCGTGCTGATTGCTTTGTGGAAAATAGTTCGCTATAAACAATTGGCTGGACTATAAATCGCATAACGTCTTTATTCGATCTAATGAAAAGGAATTAGTACATGATATATGTTAGAAATCTAATGACGAAACATTTCATAAAAATTGCGTAGAACAGAACTAAAAAGAAAATACTTAAAGTTCAATTGGTCAACATCATGATCTACTTCTTTGGAGTTATCCACCTAAATTGTTTTCCAGGAAAATGATTAACAAGCGAGTCAGAAACAGTCAAACAGTTAAAAACGGAAAAAAACTTACTTTTAAACCGCACGCGTGTCAAACTACGCTTTAAACTGTTAATTATAAATTAATTATCAATCAAATGTCAATCAACGTGTTTACCTAAAAGGAACAACTTTTGTCATTTAGCCAACGACGCGCTGACAGGATCGCAAATGTCAATAGATTTCTATACAGAATAATATTTCATATACAGAGACACTCCTTTTTTCAAGAGATCAAAGTTTTGTGTATCATCTTTGGTGTAAGATCCCAGAAATTATAGAAACAGAACTTGAAGTCTTATCATCTTTTTGGTTCTCTATCTTTACAGATTAGAAGATCGACGAAAACCAGCGTGTTCTTTATATAGCAGCTACCGAAACCAACCCTTCCCATTTTGCCATACTATTCCTACCCCCAAGAAAAGTTTTCCAAGACCAACTCACTTAGCCATTAGAGCTTAGCATTACGTAACAAGGAATAGTGTCACTCCTCCATTTATGGGATGAAAATATTTATTCCCTTTCTCCCTTATTTAGTATTCTTCAAGTTCCAACGACATTTCCTTGATGCATATTCTGTGTTGAGGAGTGGCACTTTAATACAAAAGCTTCTTGCACAATAACACAACACAATCACCAGAACAAGGGTCGAAACAGTCTCAGTTTTTTCAACTTTTAAGACTCTTTACAGGTTACCTACCACTCCCAACAAATCTGGGACTCAAATTCGGAGGTGGGACTCTGTTCCTTTTAAGCCTTGTTATTCCTCGATTCAACGTCTTCCGTTATCCGAACCAAAAATGGCTATGCATAAATCTCTGAGGTCACGTTATTGTAAAAAATTATCGCAAAAGCTTTGAATTAGGAATTCGTAACCAAGAAGTGAGATATGTTCAGAAATGCATTCATTCAGACTTAATTGATCTGGAGTTCAGCGAGTTAGTCGTTTGGGCGCTGTACGTGTCTCCCTTAAAACACAGGGGAAAAATGGCCTATTAAGGGAGTTGGCTGTTAGCGTATGTTCGTCTGTATTTCAGTAAGACTTTTATTTATATCAGGGATTCTTTTCTTGTGGAACTTAACGGTGAAATAATATAAGTCGATGGAGCGTCAAAAACATGAGTTAAGATGTGAAATAATGAGTCCTAAAACAATTCTCCCGCCGGATCGTCCTGGAGTTGGACTGGACCCAGCACAGAGAAGGTCCGCAAAGCGTGCGAACTTTAAACTGAAGGAGCAACATGCGCTTAAATCAAAACAAACAATGCTATTAAAAAAATCGATTCCTTGATAAGATAAACTTATTCATATTAAGAATTATATACTATTTCAGTATCGTCTAGACGATACTAACAACGAAACAAATTATTGGGAGAGATAGGCGTTGAACCTTCATTCATAAATTTTTTAACCTACTTCCACAAAATTGACTACATTTTAACGAGCCAAATAATCATTTGTGTAACACAAGAATGGATGAATACTTTAGCTCTTTAGCTTTAAAACTATTCACGGTGGCAAATGTACGTTATCAACTCAGCTGATAATACTAAATTATCCTGTTACATTCTCCCACCGATGCAGCACCACAGTTTCTCTAGAAACTTTTCAGTTCACTGATGCAAGAGCTTTTAGCAGCTGAAAGTGACACGTTCACTGAAAGAAGGCAAAACCAGTAAAAGTAAGGAAGCTCCGTACGCAACATTACAAACAAATCAATGGGTCACTCTTCTCGAAACGTTCTACCGGCTAAGGAGAAAAAAATGTTTCTAAAGGTTACATTACCCCCATCTGACCGTTATTCAAAAAGGAAAAAAGAACAAAAAAAAAAGTTATTACTCCGCCCCTCGAAACAGAATAAACAAGAGGCATATTTGCGTTCAATCGAGCTTTCTGTTGGAAAGAAACTTTTTTTTGCGCCCGCATTTGCCTAAGTTTTCCATGCAATTATTGGTTTATCCTGTGACCGTTTTCTGTCTTGGTATGCCAAAGTTGCAGGTTTCTCACATGTGTATACAGAAAGCTGAAAACAGCATTTGTTATGTAGTGTGAACACCCTTTTCTGGGGTGGGGTGGGGGGAGGTAGTGCCATTTATTATTGGCTATTATTTCTATACTTATTACTACAAGCAGACACTATTTTCCTTTTTTTCTATGAGTTTTGACTTGACTTAATTTTGTTTTGCAGGTTAAGTGGTTGTAGCAAGGTGAGACATTTGCCAAATAGGCTGTCTTCTTAATTTTTCTTCTTGGTTAACAAAAGATTCTAGGCTGAGATAACTTTTAATTACAAACAGCCCCAAGTGCTAGGGTGATCACACTTAACCCACCCAAGAAAACCAATGGCTTATTTTTCTTATCACCAAAAGAAAACAAAAAGTTGCCACCAAAGCTTATTAGCAGATGAACTATTAATTTTTATGGGGTTGTTAGAGTGGTTCTCATGAACCTGTGAAATGTACTTAAGCATATTTTTTACTATTACCCTTCAATTTGTTTGTTTCCATTTGGAGTTACAAGGCTTGTATTTATGGTTTATTAGTTAGAGTGATTTCATTAATTAAATCTGGTGAGTACGAATTAACTGTTAGTGTTTGGAGTGATTTTCATTTTCCATGAAAGAATAGGTTATTTAATAGTGGTGTACTGTAAATGTTTTGTTTTCTTTTGTTATACTATCAACTAATACAAACTAAATATTCCTTTATTTATTTCATGGGAAAATGGAAGTCACTCTAAAACATGCAAAGAAACAAAAGGTGACACAGAATGTAGCATCCAATTACTTTTATGTGATTCATCGACAGTACCCAAGCTTATTGAAATAACTCCAATCAAAACCACTATTTTTATTTGCCCTTGAAAGAAAAATGACTATTAAGTTTGTAGCAGTTGATGATGAACAAAAAATTCAGAGTCTACCCATTACAGTAATTACAAATTTTCACTGGCATATGAAAATTATCTAAGCGTTTTCATTCTGAATATGAGCAGTGAGGAAAAAGAAAAAACTAGTTTTCATATTTTTCCATATGACTATACATCCACTAATTACAATGATAATATGGTGATACCATGATAATATCATGAATTTTCTTAAGGGCAATGTTGCTGCTGTCAGACACTTTTTCTCTTCAATAATGAACTGAGTAAAGAAAAGATATTCTGGATTTGTTGCAAATTGTCCACTGTGATGTTGCAGTCTGGCATTAAGCAATCAAATTGTCACCAGTTAAGTACTTAACTGGTGACAATTTGATTTGTTGTTCTGCAGTATAACCAAACCTTCCTTCTGGAAATAGAGCTGGAAATGCAAGCTCCTCACATAGTTTCTCAGTCATTACTGAGACACTAGGTGTTTGTTTTCACCAGGTGCTATAATGTAGATTTCTCTACCATTGGAGTTATCAGATTGATGTGCCTCAGTTAAAATGGGATAATCTGGAATAACTGACTGCAAGCATGTCTCGCTAGCAGGTGACTAGTGTTCATTAAAAGGGTCTTCTACTTCTTCATTTAGAAGTTTTGTTCTGTTATGAGGAGCATCTACAGAGCTGTTTTATTCTGAATTCTCAAGGAAAATAGGCATCACAAGGTTGACCTACATTAACTGCATTCTTAAATGTACTGTCTAAATGATTATTAACAGTATTTGTGAGTAGGTTTGTATCATTCATTATCAGCCTGTGTCATATCTGTCAGTTCTTCACTAATGTTTGAACAATCAATTTGTATATCTTTGTATAAAGAATTACTGACTTTTAACCAGTTGAGTGCTGACATTATGAACTCTGGTCTAACAGCTTCAAAATAAAAATGTCCTCTTAAATGGTTTTCTTTTTAACTTAATGACAATTATACCAGACCTTTCTGAAGGACGAGGCAAGATGTTACATGTTTGATTACAATTTACTGGTACATTACATACAGCACCTTTAATTTTACTATGTTATCCTTTTGGCATTACAGTTATATTTTGGTATGTTCTAGTTTGTTAGGATGTAATCTACATACAAGTTGTGTACTGTTGCTTGACATGGAAGACTGCCTTGATTGACTATAGAGTGACAAGCCTTACAGATACACTCTTTTCCATCAAATGACAATAGTATATTAAAAATGTCCTGAGAAGGGTAACTAGTTCTATTGAGTTTTAAGACAGATTTCTTATAGAGTGTTCTGTTACATATACAACAAATACAATATGGGCCTTCCTTTATTTTTCAGTTAAACTCTTCAATACACAAATCTACAGTTTCATTCTTACAAATAAAATATTTTTGTTGTCTCTCAAGTACTTCTTGTTTTGTAGTAGCATCCATTGTTTTGCATTCTTGTGCTTTTTTGTTTAACAACTCTTGATTCTATCAGAATCTATAGTTTATATTGTTGTGCCATTTTCTTTAGCAGGTCTTGTTATTTTGGGACAGTTTTTTCTGTAATTCCTGTCTATTTTTTATATCTCACACTTGTTTTTTCTCCAAAATTTTTTTCTTTGGTGGCTGCACTGCTTTATGGTATTGTTTTTGTCTATGGTTATTCATTAATTTTTTCCCTTTCATTTCTGTCAACCACTTTACATGAACATATATCAAATTGTATTCTGATATGCCCTTGAGAATCATATTCCTCTTGTATTTTTCTAATGGCATCAACAAGTGAAGCCATTCCATTTATGTTTTTAGTGTATTGAATAGGGGACATGTCTCTTTCATTATAAAGCATGAGGGAATGCATATATTCTAATCATTTATTTTTTGTGAGTTTAAAGGTACAACTGATGCAATAAGAGAAAAACAATATCAAAAACTCTGTGCATTCAATATTATTCATCATATCATTCTCAAGAATTGACTTACTTTGAAGTGAATCAGTTAATAGTCCTTCAGTTGAAAACAAATTATCTAAATTTACTACAGTTCCACAAACATCTACAGTTCTTGGAAAGGTTAGCTGTGTTCTAAACTTGATTTATAACACATTATTTTGCCACTGTCACCAATGGTGGGTAAGGATGAGTTGTAATTCCAGTAATTACATGGTTTCAGAGTAGAGTAGTAAAGAGAGGATAGAGCTACAGCACAACTTAGATTGAAGTTTGTGGTTCATTCACACTGTGTTGAGAAACCATTCTATTTTGAATATTCTCAACTTGTACTCCACTCACTTCAAATATACCATTAAGTATACTCTGAAAAATAATGCACAAAACTATCAAGGGACAGTGCTTTAAGAAGAAGACTTGTACCTTGAGGCTGCCCTGTACCATACAAATCTTAGCACAAGAATCAAATATTTGAACCCCATTTTACTATTACAATAGGTTGTAACAGCAATACACCTTGGGGTTATTATGTAATTGGTGTAGTTTTCAGATATGTGCAACTAAAAGGCTCTTCATAAAGAGGTACAGTACTGATCTCCCTGTATTGTAGTTTCTTGGTGAACAGTACCAGAGTAGCTTTCACTGTATTCCAGTTGATAATTAGTGTCGAACACATGTAATGCTGTTGGTAATTCTGACTGCATTAAAAATGCCTGTCTGGTTAATTGTGAGAAACTTGAATAAAATAGATTTCCTATATTTATCATTTGTGCAAGATCATTCGCAGTCAGCTGATCCCTTATATGATATTGTAATAAAAGCAAAGAGCACAAACTCATTGCCACACACTGTTGTCCTACATTCTGTCCCAAGTACATATCAGTTTGTTATAAGAAAACAATTTTAAATATCGACTGGCACGATATTTTATCTTTCTTATACTTTGACGAATTCTTTCACGACAGTTGAACTAAAACATCGTTTTATTTAATAGTTTTTTCGCATTTACATAACAGTACAATGTAGATAACATGGGTATACATGAAAGAATACGTGCATATAAAAATTCTCTAACCTTTCTGCTCTGGTTCCTACTTTTCAAACTTCGTATTGGTATTCTGCTTAATTAACGATCACGTCTACATACACGATGAGATTTGCGTTTCTGTTTCTCTCGATTGACATTAGATAGCTCAGTTAATATTGCATGTTTCTCGATGAAAGTTCACTCATAAAAATTTCTCTCACAAGGTTCGCGGACCGACCCGTCCCGAAAACGCTCGAAATCTTTTAGTGAGGGTCAACCGCGAACGCTGTGTGCATATTTTGCATGCATTTTCAGCGTATTATACACAGTATCTGTGTTGATTTTTCACCCCAAATGCTCCTCTTCTTTCGCCATTACACCATGCCATGCCATTAATCCCTATCATGCACAAAACTTCGCGCATGCGTGTTAAAAATTTAACTGCGATTGACAGCTGAACGAAACGAAAAACGAAGCCGAAACCCGAGTAATAACTCATTGAAACTCTTCAAAGGTTACACTTGGAAATCTGAATAGGGTGGAGAGGGCGAGGGCTTATTAGGTGACTGGTCCCTCCGCTAAGTCTCGTTTTATGCATGATAAGCGATGTGACTTGTCAACTGCACCCAGCTCTCAACTTATTCAGCTAGATATGGATGTTCAACAGCTGTTTACAAATCTCAAGAAGGAAGCCGAGTGTCCGCTGTGTCTAGAAACAGTCAAAGATCCCAAGACACTGCCATGTCTACACTCATTCTGTCTGCAGTGTATCGACAAGCACGCAGGATATGCAAAGAGAAAGTTAGAAACGACGATCAAATGTCCAGTTTGTCAAGCTTGCTTTCAGATCCCCGAAGGAGACACGTTTGGCAGCCTTCCCACATCTTTTCATCTCAACCGATTGGTGGATCTCCTTGCTCTGAGAGATGGCAGCCAAGAGGCTCAGAGATGCAGTAGTTGTGAAGAAAACAACACGGCAACTTGCTACTGCTTTGTTTGCCAGAACTTTCTTTGCAAGGATTGTTTTGATGCTCATCAGCGCCTGAGGGCCACGAGAGGTCATCATAATGTTTTGATCGAAAACTTGCAAGCGCAAGATGTGGAGGACTTGATGCACAGACCCGCCATGTGTACAAAGAAATATCACGAGAATGAACCGCTTGATTATTATTGTCGAGACTGTAGCGTTTGTATTTGCCACAAGTGCAGTATAGTAAGTCATAATCGACATACTTTAGTAGACTTACAGGAGGCTGCCGAAGAACGAAAGATGCAAATGACGCAAGTCTTTGCCAGAGTTAAGGAAAAACTTGTTACTGTGGAGTCAAAGATATCGGAGAAAACTGAACTGATGAAACAAAGCGAAGAAGAAATCTGCGCCGCTGAAAAGAAGGTTACGATAACTGTGCAAGAAATTATTCGAGTTGCGAAGGAACATGAAACGGCTGTAAAAACTAAGCTGGCAGAAATTAGAGTCACGCAACAAAGAATATACGCAGCAAAAATTGGAAGTGATCAGTTACTTGCGGCTCAGCTAAAGAGTTCTGTCGAATGTGGCGAAGGTATCGTACAACGAAGCATCGGTCCTGAAATTCTGCAAGCAGGACATGCTGTGCTTGGTCGATGCGAGGAACTTTTAACCACACAGGATATTGAAGTATGTAAACCTCAACATGTAGTCTATTGTGTAAATTTGGAAGCTTTGAATACTGTCAGAGACTTGGTTCCAGGTCAAGTATTTGAGACTAACACGGATCCTTCACAGTCATCGGCAGAAGGAATCGAGGCTGAAGCAGGCACTGAAACTAGCTTTACAGTAACAACGCGAGATTCAAAGGGAAGTCAATGTTATGATGAACAGACCAACTGACCGTAATAATCCGCTCTCAAAAAGGAGAAGAGGAGGAAACCAAAATTGATGACTGTAAGAATGGAACCTACGTAGTGCGTTACAAGCCAAGTGTAGGCTTACGTGACATTTGCGTTAAGGTGAATGGCCAACCGCTAACTGGTAGTCCCTGGAGAGTTCAGGCGACTGGTCATCAATACAAAGTTATTCATTCAATTGGATCACATGGGAATGGACCGGGACAGTTTGAAATACCAGGTAGCATTGCAGTGAATAAAAGAAATGGAAAGATTGCCATAGCAGATCAAAACAGAGTTTATTTGTTTGATCGTGAATGTAAATATCTGAGAACAATAGGAGACAAGGGGTTTGATGCTAAGAGAATCAAGTTTCCTCGTTCGGTGGAATTTACAACATCTGATGAAGTCATTGTCATTCATGGAAATATTTTGGAACCGTGTAAGATGTTATTGTTTACTGAGCATGGCGACTTCATTAAAGTCATTAGTCAGCATTTGATTGATCCTTGTTCCGTATCTGTCAGAGATGATGGTCACATGATCGTGTGTGACTGGGACGACAAGTCAGTCAAAGTCCTCACCCCTGACGGTACAGGATTAGTACAGTCCTTCAAAGAACCACGCAGTTTTAGGAAACCGGTTCTTGCTGTTTACCATGAAAACAAGTTTTTTGTTTCATTTGTCTCATTTAACTATATTAACGTGTTCAGCAACGAAGGACTTTATCTGTATGACATTAGCAAGGAGGCACTCTGTGCAAGAAAACTCTTTTTTACTAAAAACTTCACTATTGACGCGTTTAACAATCTGATCGTGTGTGATAATAACAATAATCGCAGATTTCAAGTGTTTTCTTTAGATGGAAAATTTGTTTACTCGTTCAATATTGAAGAAATTAAATGTCCCTCGTTTGTCGCTGCTTTTGAAGATAAGTTGTTTGTTTGCGATCGTACAAAGCACGTAGTCCATGTTTTGCAGTAGAAAATGAACATTGCTCAACAGTTGTTCTGATGCGATTCTTTCAATGTGGCCTTTGGTTCGTTGTAAGGTATGACCCTTTTTTTACAGCCGCTGAAATACTAATCGCGGGCTCAAAAAGAAAAAGGAAGAATGGAAATTGGACTTTGTGAATATTTTAAAGATAACTTTGTTCTAATTTTGTTTTAGTTTATTCATTTTTTTCTTTCGTCGTCTTTGCGTTTGTCTCCATTTATTAGCTGTAAGTGATTATCCTTCAGAGTAGTAAATAAAATAGTATTTGATTTGGTCTGAAAATTAGTGTAGAAGTGTGTAATCTTGGAAGGAGAATCTTGAAGATTTTTTCCTCATCGGTGTTGATAGATCTCATTCAAAGAGACCTGCATATAATTGGTTACTTTTACTGGTATGCAGCACGCTCTTCAAATACTAACCCCAAGGCTGTATCGGCTCTCCCTGTGACTAAACAGTTAGAGTACCTGCATTGTGTGTGAGTGATTAAAACTGTTTTATTCAAGAATTCACGGTCCTATTTTTTAAGCTGTTCTCACGACGACTTTAATCATCTTTTGTCACAAATAATCAAAAGGAGAATTTTCAATGGAGAGTGGAAAGCATTCCTGGGTAGCCTGCAAGAAGGCCCTAATTATTTGTTAACTGTTTCTATTGAAGGTATCTTTAATCCTAAATTTTCTGAACATCCAAATACCCTTTCTTTTTCCCTTTTACCCCTCTCCAGGTCCCTCTTACCTCTTCCCCCTTCCCACTTACCCCTCCCCTGTTCCCTTTTACCCCTCCCCCATTTCCTTTTACCCCTCCCCTGTTTCCTTTCACCCCTCCCCCTTCCCTCTTATCCCTTCCCCTTTCCCTTTTACTCCTCCCCCTTCACTCTTATCCCTCCCTTTTTCCCTTTTACCCCTTTCCCCTTCCCTCTAACCCCTCCCCCTTTCCCTTTTACCCCTCCCCCCTTCCCTCTTATCCCTCCCTCATTCCCCTTTACCACTCTCCTTCCCTCTTACCCCTCCCTCGTTCCCCTTTACCCCATCTCCCTTCCCACTTACTGCTCCCCAGTTCCCTTTAATCCCTTCCCTCTTCCCTTTTACCCTTCCCCAGTTCCCTTTAATCCCTTCCCCCTTCCATCTTACCCCTCCCCCTTTCCTTTTACCCCTCCTTTCTTCTTTTACACCTCTTCCTATTAGATTTAAGGGTGATACGTATGTTGTTAAAAACCTCCTATTTAAGTGTGCTAGCTCTTATAATCACCCACAGGCCTATTTGCAATTAAATATCCCGACCCCCATTCCCCCAAAAAGTATTCTTTTGTAAATATCCATGCTTACAATGTGTAAGCTCTTAATTTTTTTCTCTCGTGTTACCTTATTTAGATCACATTCACCAATTTATCAAACAGAAAAATGATTCAAATACTGTAAAAGAGTGTTAAATCGAGTTACAGAATTGTTAATAAAAAACTGACTGGAGAAAACTATAAAAAGTATCGCATTGGGCAGAACCAATGGAGCTGTAAGGAGTACTGCTTTGCGTGTGTAAATGTTGAAAGCAATTTTAAGCTGCTGTTAATAAGACGTTTTACTGAAACGATAGACGACAGCAGTCCCTGCTTTTCGGCGAAGTCTGTAGCGTGAGTCAAAAAGATCAGCGCCCACCATACTTCCAGAGTTCCACGCAAGGCACTAACTTCAATCTTTTTTCATTGTTTGGGTATTTGTCATTTAGAGGGCTGATGAGAGATTCACTTGAAGGATTGACTTGTCCAAGACTGATCAGTTTTGGGAAGGTGAGTCTAAGATTACTTGGATGTGCACTTCTCGCCTCATGAACACTGATGGAAATGTCACATATACTTTCATAGGGCTACACGCTTCTACAGCCCTGGAATCGTGGATTTTAAAAGTTAGGATTATACATCGTTTCCCCTTGTTCTATACCTCTAAAGGAATGAAGTCTCTAACAGATATCAAGAGTCTCCACCCTTGTGGGTGAACTGAGGAACTAAGTATGCCCCATCCCCCCACCCCTTTAGTGGGTAAAGCAGGTGTCTACATTCCCCTTTTGTCTATCAGTTTCATTCGTTTTTATTTTACATCTTTTTTTTTTATTTTGAAGGCTGGTTTAAAGGCATGTCCAATTTGTTCTTATCGTGTCCTGTTCCAAAGCTTCTCATCTTGGCAAGTAATTAAATATAATTTTCTGGATTTCAATTTTGTGTGCCTGTTTGTTGGTTTGTTTATTTTACTTTGGTATTGAAGATGATGATGATGATGATGATGATGATGATGATGATGAAGCTTTCATTGTTTTTGTTGTTCTGGTTGAATGTTAGATGACATATGTGACTAAAAATTTTGAGCAAACTCAACTTTTTGAAAAATGTAACATTTCATCTACATTTTAACACAGTTTGGCAAAAATTCGAATTCGATAACCTGAAGATTGATTTTCGTCCATATTAAACAGTTCTGCATTTGGGATGAGTACAAAGCCTCCATGCCTTTAACGAATATAGTCGCGGACAATTTAATTTTTTTAACAATTTCCCTAACGCGCATCAGAAACTATATCTTTGATCTACGCAAGTAGTTTTGACACTTAACAATACAAAGCTCGAATTTTCGACACAGGTGTGGATCATCTTGACAAAGATATATAAAATATAATATTTTCTTGTTTGAGTGACAATTTTTTCTAAGGATGGAAACTCTGAAATATTCGTTTAGAGGTAAATTTCAGATGCAGGTATTACCACGCTGCGGTCATTGCGTTCACGAGGATGCCCCGGACAAAGTAAGTGAAGTAACGAATTCATCTTCAGCTTAGAACGAAAAATGAAAAAAAAAAGTAGTGATGAAATAATAATAACAATAATAATAAATACAAAAATAATACTGAATGATAATGATAACAATGGTATTAAAAGCTAAAAAAAATTATAATGAGCTTATCAGGGTTATCCATACCCTGTTGTGAATGGCTGTATCACCTCCTCAGAGCAATATGAAATTTCTCGCATTTAGTCACAATCATAACAATCAAACCTTTACTTTTTCCCGACGTATTTTCGTGGTATGAGTTAAGCAGAGTAGGGAAATTGCGAATGTTCAAAATTTTGAACACTGAAAAACCTTGAAAAACGGGATTCACGGTAAGGAGACCGATTTTTAGAAAAGTTTACAGTGCCATCATGAGTATCCCTTACTGCATACAGTGGGTTATGGACTGGCACCACCAAGATCACAACATAATAACCCGAGCAAGGTTTGAAACAATATTTGACGCTAAAATGCAATAAAGCCCTGTAAAAGCTTTTTTTGTCTCTTTTTCCGCCAAAACGTCCTCGAGTCTGAAGCTCAAGTTTGCCCCGTAATTGGGGCAAAGTAGGTCCGCAATACGTGCGGATCTTAAAATTTGGTGAGCAAACTATAAAAAAATTGATTCATAAACAAGATGAACAAACTCGTAATGTATGGCATCATATTTGGATATCATCTCTAACACGTTTTTTTTTTCTGAAAAAAAGAAAAAATTTATTTTGTTATGTTCCTTCGTATGTAATCCCCTCCCACAATTGCAAGCCAAGTTCCGTCTTAATAGCCCAACCTCCATACCCCTTAATGGTATTCTTTTATAGTTATACACGCTTGCAATATATAGGCTCTTCCTATTTTTCTCCCTTGTCACCTTATCAAAGTCACATTCAGGAAAATGCAGCAAAATTTATAAAACGCCCTAAATTTTCAAATATTATGGAGAAAATACTGAATCAAGAAAATCATCTTACAGGAGGAAACTATTTGAATAATATCACGTCTTGCAGAATTCCTTGCTAAAATTCAACGGAGCTGCTAAGAAAACTACAGTAAGTTCAGTAATCTAAAACTACAAGAGCTTTTAGCAGCTATTAGTGACACGTTTCCTGAAAAAAGGCAAAACCAGCAAAATTAGGGAGGCACTGTACGCAACATTACAAACAAATCAATGAGTCACTCTTTTCGAAAAGTTCAACCGGGTAAGGAAATCCTATAAAACTTTTCTCTCTCGGGATGATCAAAACGAAAATTCTCAGCAGCATCTAGAAATTTTCGAGCAGAAAGGTGATTAGAAAAAGGAGTAATATTTCCTAATTTAGCGGTACAAAGCAGCAAATAGCAACTCCATCCTAATTATCGAGATAACGCAGACTTTCGCGAGTTTACTGAGGTCAGGTGATGCCACTCGAAAACGTTTGCAAAGTTCATCAAATTTCTTTGCATGGAAATTGAAATCAGTTCTTCATTTCATCTTCATAATTTAATTACTTAAAAGTAACAAAACACTTTTAGCATGGAATCGTCGGTCATACGTGCGAAATTGTCCTGTACGAGTTAGATCGAATTTTGTCATCTGCAGCCGTACAAGTAGGCAACTGCGGCCATTTAAGAGGTTGCCGATGACTGTTCATCATTTAGGCGCCAGAACAGAAACTTATTCCGACAAGTGTGAGTTAAAAATAAATGATTCCATAGGTTTCGTTTCTCCCGTCTGACTGTTGTTCAAAAGGGTAAAAGAACCGAAAAAAGCTAAAAAAAAGTTATCACTCCGCCCCTAGAAACAAAATAAGTAACACATTTAACACTTCAAAGGCAACACTTGTATATCTGAATAAGGTGGAGAAGGTGAGGACTCATTAGGCGATTGATGCCTCCCCCAGGTCTTGTTTTATGCATGATTAGCAATGTGATGTGTCAACCGCTTCCAGCTTTCAACTTATTTAGCCAGACATGGATGTTCAACAGCTCTTTACAAGTCTCAAGAAGGAAGCCGAGTGTCCACTGTGTCTAGAAACAGTCAAAGATCCCAAGACACTGCCATGTCTACACTCTTTCTGTCTGCGGTGTATCGACAAACACGCAGGATATGCAAAAAGAAAGTTAGAAACGACGATCAAATGTCCAGTTTGTCAGGCTTGCTTTCAGATCCCTGAAGGAGACACGTTTGGCAACCTTCCCACATCTTTTCATCTCAACCGATTGGTAGATCTCCTCGCTCTGAGAAATGACAGCGAAGAGGCTCAGAGATGTAGTAGTTGTGAAGAAAACAACACGGCAACTTGCTACTGCTTTGTTTGCCAGAACTTTCTTTGCAAGGATTGTTTTGATTCTCATCAACGCCTGAAGGCCACAAGAGGTCATCGCAATGTTTTGATCGATAATTTGCAAGCACAAGATGTGGAGGAGTTGATGCACAGACCCGCCATGTATGAAAAGAAATATCATGAGAATGAACCGCTTGATTATTATTGTCAAGACTGTAGCGTTTGTATTTGCCACAAGTGCAGTATAGTGAGTCATAATCGACATACTTTAGTAGACTTACAGGAGGCTGCCGAAGAACAAAAGATGCAAATGACGCAAGTCTTTGCCAAAGTTAAGGAAAAACTTGTTATCGTGGAGTCAAAGATATCGAAGCAAACTGAACTAATGACCAAAAGCGAAGAAGAAATTTGCGCCGCTGAAGAGAATGTTACGAAAACTGTGCAAGAAATTATTCGTATTGCGAAGGAACATGAAACGGCTTTAAAAACTAAGCTGGTAGAAATTAAAGCTACGCAACGAAGGAATTACGCAGCAAAAATAGGAAATGTTCAGTTACTCGCGGCTCAGCTAATAAAGAGTTCTGTCGAATACGGCGAAGGTATCGTACAACGAAGCATTGGTCCTGAAATTCTGCAAGCAGGACATGCTGTGCTTGGTCGATGCGAGGAACTTTTAACCACACAAGATATTGAAATATAAAAACCTCAACATGTAGTCTATTGTGTAAATGTGGAAGCTGTGAATATTCTTAGAGGCTTGGTTCCGGGTCAAGTATTCGAGACTAACACGGATCCTTCACAGTCATCGGCAGAAGGAAGAGGTTTAATCGAGGCAGGAGCAGGCACTGAAACTAACTTTACAGTCACTACGCGAGATTCAAAGGGGAGTCAGTGGTATAATGAACAAGACCAACTGACCGTAATAGTCCGCTCTCAAAAAGGACAAGAGGAGGAAACGAAAATTGAAGACTGTAAGAATGGAAGCTACGTAGTGCGTTACAAGCCAAAGAGTGTTGGCTTACGTGACATTGCTGTTGAGGTTAATGGCCAACCGCTGACTGGTAGTCCTTGGAGTGTTTAGGCGACTAGTCATAAGTACAAAGTTATTCATTCGTTTGGATCACATGGCACAGAACCGGGAAAATTTAAAGGACCAGTCAGCATTGCAGTGAATAGAAGAAAAGGAAAGATTGCCATTGCAGATTTTAATAAGCACAGAGTTGAGTTGTTTGATGGAGAGTGGAAACATCTTAGTACAATAGGAGACAAAGAGCTTAATGCTGAGAGGATCAAGTTTCCTCGTTCGGTGGAATTTACAACATCTGATGAAGTCATTGTCATTCATGGAAAATTTTTTCAAGCGAGTAAGATGTTTTTGTTCACTGAACAGGGAAACTTCATTAAAGTCATCAGTCAGCATTTGATCAGTCCTTTGTCCGTATCTGTCAGAGATGATGGTCACATGATCGTGTGTGACTCGGGCGACAACTCAGTTAAGGTCCTCTCCCCTGACGGTACAGGATTAGTACAGTCCTTCAAAGGACCACACGCTTCTGATTACCCGGCTTCTGTTGTTTATCATGAAAACAAGTTTTTTGTCTTATATCACCCATGTTACTATGTTAAAGTGTTCAAAAACGAAGGACTTTATCTGTATGATATTGGCAATGTTGTTGGATCACTTAGAAACAGCCTCACCATCGACGCGTTTAACAACCTGATTGCGTGTGACAATAATAACAGCAGCCTTCATGTGTTTTCTTTAGATGGAAAACATATTAGTTTGTTTAATGAAGGAATTGTCTCTCCTTGGTCCGTCGCTGCTTTTGAGGATAATAAGTTGTTGGTTTTCGATAATATAGATAACGTAATCTATGTTTTGCAGTAGAAAGTGAACATTTCCCAGCAGTTATTCTAATGCGATTCTTTCAGTGTGATCGTTGTATTGATGTTTTCGTTGGAGGTAATGACCCTTTTTTTTTCACAGCAGTCGAATTATTCCTCGCCGGCTCCAAATAGATAGGAAAATTGGAAATTGGACCTTGTAAATATTTTAAAGACAGCTTTGTTAATGTTTTGTTTTGTTTTAACTCTTTTTCCTTTTTTTTCGTCTTCTTTACGTTTGGATCCTTTTTATTAGTTGTATGCAATTATCTTTTAGAATAGTAAATAAAGTGTTGTTTGATTTGGTGAGAAAATTATTGTGAAAGAGTTCTATCTTGGAAGGAGGGGGGATGAAGATTTTCAGTCCACAGGTCTCATTAGAAGAGGCCCACATATAGTAGGTTGCCTTTACTGGTACGCAATAGGCTCGTCAAATACTAACCCTGAGGCTGTGTAAAGCGCCAGTTGTCACTGCTCTTCCTGTGACTAAACAGTCAGATTACCTGCATTATGTGCGAGTGATTAAGACTATATTATTCAAGAATACAGGGCCTTTTTTTTTAGCTGCTCTCACAAAAAATTCAATTTTTCTCCTGAGAATTTTTGTCACATATAATCAAAAGGAGAATTTTCATAGGAGAATGGAAGCATTCCTGGGTAGCCTGCGAGGAGGCCCTAGTTATAAGCATTTCGGCGCGCGCGTTTCGAGTCTTCCCGCTTATAAGTTAACGCACGCTCTGCTCGTAAGCTAAATCGTGGGTCGCATTGGTGTGTCTTCACTGTAAATGGCCTGTAAATTCACGCCTCCCTCTCATCCAATCAGAATCAAACTAAAACAAATCGTGGCTAAGTCACCCTCCTTTGTGTTTATTTGTTTCCCCCGCACCTCAAGCAGATTGCTTGTTTTACTCTCAGTTCTCATTGTATAGATTTCCGTGTGATATTAAAATTAATTGTACCGTTGTGATGAATTTACTTCTATTTATACAACAATCAATCAACCTGCTCTCTGATAGGAATACATTCATTGTGTAGGTATTTGTCGTTTAGAGGGCTGATGACAGATTCACTTGGAAGATTGACTTGTTCAAGATTGATCAGTTTTGGGAAGGCGAGTTTAAAGCAAGCAATGTGACGATTTGATCCTCAGCTGAGAAAGATGAATTTTAAAAATATATAGGAAAAAAAACTATCCTAATAATAATCATTTTAACAATGATAATGATAATAATAATTAATGGTATTTAAAAATAATGATAATAATAATGATAAAAACAATAACAAAAAAATGAAAAATTTATTTGACCTTACCAAGGTTTTCCATGCCCTTTGGCAAACGGCTGCATGACTTCCTCAGAGCAATATGAAACCCTCGCCTCTGGTAACAATTCAACCCTCACTTTTTCCAGACGTATTATTGCGGTATGAGGTAAGCAAAGCAGGAAAATTGTGGATGTTCTGAAATATTTAGACCTCAAAAAATTGAAAAGCAGGTTTCACGGTAACGAGACTAATTTTGATAGCAAAAGCTGACAATGACATCATAAGTATCCCTTACTCCGAAATTACATCTTTTTTACACCTACTACTTGAGGTGACTGTTTCTGTGTTCCTACCGTTGTTTGTCCTTTATCTTTGCAGGTGGCAAATGTGTTAGTGACATTTCTAACGCGGCTGAAGCTCGCTGTGACAAAGGACAACTTTCTAAGGTAGGCATTGACATAGGCCTGACTCTCCCGCATTTGCCTTTTACCTTATTTGTCGAGCACTGTGTCTTTGTTGAGCGATTTATTAGGGACCTTTTGAAACTTTTATGAGCTAAATAATTCCCAACTCATTACCAAAACAAAGACATCTAAAATTGGGCGCGACCGTAAGTGTCGGATTATCTTCACAAGAATCCGAATTCTAGAATCCTACATCATGTTTGGATGATCTATCATCTGAGCATATAGGGGGTTTGTTGTGACAAGCACTCTGCATACAGGTTTTGGCAATCAACGTGACCAATATGAGGCAGTCAAGAAAATTAACGATCGTTAAGAGTTTTCTATCTTGACAAACTTGATCTATCGCCTGAGCATATAGGGGTTGGCTGTGGCAAGCATTCTGCATACTCACAAGATCACAAATGTCGATAGCTTTCTACACAGAAATAAAATGTAACTTTTTTTGGAATTGCATATAAATGTAACTATCTACTCAAGGTTATTGATGTGTTCAGTTAATACAGATGGATAAAACCTTTAAAGGATACGAAAGATGAAACTGTAACTGAAGCATTTAGGATTATCTTTAAAGAAGGTAGACAACTACAATGTCTATAGGTTGACAAGGGTAAGGAGTTCCATAATAAACATGTCAAAGAGTTATTAGAAAAACATTATATAACAATATACTCAACAAAAAATAAAGAAAAATCCAGTGTCGTTGAAAGACGGAATAGGACAATAAAACAGAAAATGTGGAAACAGTTAACAATTCAAGGTATAATACATAGTATTTCTACCTACCACCTGAAATATTATAATGATAGAAAACTCTCAAGCATTAAAATGACACCAGTAGAAGCAAGTAAAAAGAAGAAGGAAGGAACTGTTCACCTCAGTCTGTATGGTGATATGGAGCCATTGTCATTTTTCTCATGCTGACGTATTCCCATTATTAATGGATCAAAGTTTTGTGTGTCGCCGGTGTAAACCTCAAAAATTGTAGAAACTAAGTTGAATCATAATCAGTAATTTAATGCTTAAGTCTTCAAGTTAGTTTCACACACTCCCTTATTACTCACTGTCATCAAGGCGAACTCAAATTTTAAGCAAGGGGATTGCATCGAATACTGGAGACATTTTCAGACAATTCAAGTACAAACTTTCTTGTTGTAATATTTTGTAATCTTTTCTGCAGACCTATGCTGGCGTGTTAGTCTTGGATCGTATTTCTTCCTGTTGTCAAACCAATATAAGCAGGAGAGAGTTTTGCCAAGTTCATTTAATCTCTGTAAATAAGACTTTACACGTTAAGTTCTCTTTCTGAGCAGACTAAAAGACCAACAAACGTCAATCGAGTGGGTATAAAGTGTTTGTATAATAGCCATCGAAACTAACCCTTCCCATTCCACCATGCTATTCCCACCTCCAAGAAAATTTTTCTGAGACTAACTCACTTAGCTATCAGAGCCAAGCATAACGTTACGAGGTGTATCGTCACTCCTCCACTTTAGGGGATGAAATTTGTATCTCCTTTCTCTCTTATTCAGCATTCGTTCAGTTTGCACGACAGTTACCTGATGCATACAGTTGGTTGGGGAGTGGCACTTTTCTACAAGGCTTCTTGCCCAAGATCACAAAAAAATAACTCGAGCAAGGTTTGAAACAGAGTATTTCTTTTTTGTTCCGGAGTGAGCGAGTAAGCCATCTAGCTGCTGTGTCTCCCTCGACCAAGAAAATGTCGAGGAAATAAATGGTGGGTTGGGGAGTGGCACTTTTATATAATGCTTCTTGCCCAAGATCACAACAAAATAACCCGAGCAAGGTTTGAAACAGAGTATTTCTTTTTTGTTCCGGAGTTGAGCGAGTAAGCCATTTAGCTCCTGTGTCTCCCTCAATCAAGAAAATTTCAAGGAAATAAGTGGCGGGCTGTTTTAGGGTGTTGGCTGTTAGTTTTTGTTCGATTGTATTTCAGAGAGTCGTTTCTGTCGGTAATTAGTTGCTTGTGGATCTTAAAGCAGGGAGAGAAACTGGAGTATCCATACTTATCTCAACTTCAAGTAGAGGGACGCTAAAATGCGAAAAAGCCCTGTGAAAACCCGTCTGATCTAATCCTGCGGTTGACTCATAAAAGAAGCGTTAAGAAGTAAATGAACGAGTTTTTTTTTATTTCCCGCCAAAACGTCCATTAGCCGAAAGCTAAAGATTACAACATTGTCAGCTTACTGAAAGTCATATCCACAAAAATTCCGCAAAATTTATCAAACACATTAAATTATCAAATATTATGGAGAAATAAATGAATAAAAGAATCTGACAGGAGGAAACTATTTGAATAGCATCACATCTTCCACAACTCCCTACTGAAATATAGATAAAATGCAACGGAGCTGCAAAAAAGACAACAGCGAATTCAGTAATGTAAAACTGGCTAGAGCTTTTAGTAGCTATTAGCGACAGACTTTCTGAAAAAAGAGAAAACCAGCAACAGTAAGCAACAGGCAAAGGAAATCCTAACCCTTTTCTCTCTCGGTAATGGTGTAAACGAAAATTCTTTATACAGCATCCAGAAATTTTCAAGCCAAAAAGGTGATTAGAAACAGATGTAATATTTCCTAAATTAGCGGAACAAAGCACCCAATTGCAACGCAATCCTAATTATTGAGATAACGCACCAGGTTACTGAGGTTAGGTAATGCCACTCAAATACGTTTGTAAAGTTCGCTGAATTTCTTCGCGTGGAAATTGGATTCAGTCGGTCACTGTATATAAATGATTAAAATTACCAAAGACTATTAGCATGGAAACGTCGGCCATGCCTGCGGAATTATCCTGGTACGAGTGTGGTCAAGTTTTTTCATCTGCAGCCGTTAAGTAGGCCGGCATAGGAGCTAGATTATGAAGT